CTCACAAAGGCAAAAAGAGCGAAGACAAGCTTAAAAGTACCAGAAAACGCCGCTTTTTGGTTAAAATGTAAACGCAGATGTGGGGGTGCCTCGTGTGAACAAGCTTTGTCTATAGAAACGGAGTAACGACGCGAATGCGATACAAAGGATCCGTTTCGCGCAACCAAGTGAAACGGATCCTGAAAAGGCAGCAGCAAATAGGTGACACACCTCGATCGTAAAATCTTCGGGACGCTGTGATCGCATGGAGAGCATCTTCAAGGAAGATATATCGCCGTAGTCTGTCCGCATGGGACTGTAGTCGCAAAGTTCCCTGCACGTTCTTGTGCACACAGCGGTTCCTCATGCGCGTAAATGCGATTTCAGGCTGCTCTGGCCGCTTCGTCAGGATAAAAGGCCTTGGGGGTTCTGTTTGGTTCCCCAACAGAGCAACCTCGCAAGCATCCCTGAGGGCCTGTCGCCCAGCCGAGTTGCACCCGCGCGAATTGCCGCGGAGGCTCTCTGAAGGCTTTTGGTTTGCCGGTGTACTAAGGCGATGAGTACCGTCCTCATGTGTGGCAGCAGCAACGAGGCCTTTAGCGGCTACCTTTACCTCTGCGCAAGACGAAGCTGTCGCATCGGCTGCTTCCACGGGTAAGTCTTCATCCTCAGGGTCGATGTGCTTCGGTTTATGCGGTAGAGCGCGTGCCAGTTTGAGCATGCGCCGATACTTGACGACCTCGTTTGTAGTCTTGTTACGCAGAAGGAGTGACAAGTGCATGGACAGGAAGAAACATAAAGCGATGCCAACCATAACGCATAAGCTGAAGAGGAGAACCAGCTCCGTCCAGGTGCCAAGCAAGTACTGCACAGCAGCGTAACAGACGAAGGGCATCAAATCATTTGAAGTAGGAGCGCACAGCAAGAATAAAGCTGATGCTAGTAACAAAATTGGTCTTGGAAAGTGCTGAGGCTCCTACTTCTATCGGTGGCATCGCGAGGGCCCCTTACCCGAAATACCAGAGTGAGCGTGGGCCTGTGCCGCTCGCCTGTCTCAATGTCTATCAGCATTACTGAAAAGAGTTTCTTTTCCTTGACGATGAAGAGTAGCAAAGAAGCCCCCACAAAGGCGCCGTAGCTACACCCCAAAAACACGCACACGGAAACACCCAGAGCACAAATGGTGAGGTTTCCATCCCCCAGACGCACAGTTCGGAAACACAAAGCAAGCCGGACATAAAGCTAGTGTATGCTTCTCGGCATGCGCAGTGGCAGTGAGCTCTTGAGTATCTGCTGGCTAAAAGCGGGTGCAGGGATGTTCAGGAAGAAAGGTGCAAGTTCAGAGAATCAAATGGAGCAACGAGGCACCGAAAGCACGAGTAGAGACCCTAGGCGCCAGACACTGAAGCCACAGATATTTTGATATGCGAAGTGCTGTGCAACGCTTCAGATCGCGTATGAGCGTACCCACATAGGAGCGCATGCAGAAATAGGAAGAGGAGAAAGTAACGGCAATTATTCGCGCCAACGCAATTGCCGATCCAAAAGCAGTGGTGATCAAAGCGCAAAACACAATGGTTGCACAAGCTGCAGTGCTTGCTGCGTGCCGGCCTGCACAGGAGAGGAGAAGAGTGGCGTGATAAGCGATAGGGTACAGGAGGGAGGAAGACACTAGTGGAACGGCAGCTTAGGCTTAATTCAAGAAAGGCAGGAAGAAGGGGGCCATGAGCCTCTCGCTTCCATAAACATGTGGAGGAAGGAAGGAAGTTCTGAGGCGTTTCTTAGGCAAGAAGTGGAGATAGAAGCAGACAGCATTGCATGGCACTTCGAGGCTGCTGAACCTAAGAAATGCGCTGAGGGGTTTCTAAGATTGAGACACCTTTGTAGCGACGCATGGGAGAAACAGTTCGGGATCCCCCCAGTCCGCTGGCGACGTATCTGCGGAGGCCCCTAGTGCACACTACACAGCAACTTTCTGCATCCCCCCAGCGAATTGAATGCATACTTCATGACTTAAAGACGCGCACATGCACTGCTTAGGGCGAGTGAAAGACGCAGAGGACGCACGTACTTCGGAACACAGCATGTCTCACAGCTTGCGCCCTCTGCGTAGAGCAGCCCGTCACAGGGGAAGGCCTGGCAAAAGAGTCTCGCATTTTGGGGTGTCACTACGCCTGAGAGCACAGTGAAAACTCCAACACCAGCGCCCTGCCCGCACGAAGACAGACAGCCGACGTAAGGAAATCATGCAAGACAAAACCACGTATATATTAGCAGAGGATAGGAGGAAGCGCAGAGAGGCATCACAGCGTGCCGCCTCTATGAAAGCGGCGCATGCAGGGACTCTCTGCTGAGTCTGAGAGAGCAGCAAGATGCAGAAGCAAATCCGCGGAAGGCGAGAGCAGCAAACGATAACGGAGAGACGCAGCATCTAGTGAAGAAGGTCAGGGATACAAATGCGATATGCAACAGCAATTGGTGCAGCTTGTGCTGCGGGCCGCCTACCAGGATCACTAAGGCAGCAGACACCGAATACTCCAATGCAAATCAACACTGCCACGAAGCTATACCACCTGCGGAAGCCGCACATTTCCAAACTTGCTCTTTCCTTCATATCTGTAGATTTAAGCATCTATTTATGTCTATATGCACTTCTATGTACGTCAAAACACCGCGGCATAGGCGTGTATGCAGTGCTAGGTGCACCAATTTGCACACCCATGAACCCTCAGAAGTCTAACTGGGAGGTTGTTGGGCAACATGGGGTATAGAACACAACTAAGAGGCCGAGCTTACGGATGGCTGGCACTAAGGAAAGCATTGGGTAAAAGCGGGAGCGCTGCAGACACAGAGCATGTAGCCACGCAACAACACACTTGAAATATGATCACGACCAATCCCTGGCTGTTCGTACGTACACCAGGATAAAGTACAGATTATACGCATCTGTATATATTCACGTGCATATACAGCAGCTTTCCGGGAAAAAAGATAAACTAGAGGGGCGTGCAAGCATGCCCGTCTAGTTGATGGCCATAGGGGAGCATCTACCGACATCTCAGACGTGCCTACACGTAAGTACTCTGTATACGCGCCGACCATCAACGCCATGTACAGAATCTGTCCAAAGGGGTTATTCTGCAGGAAGATATACGCTCCCCATCCTGCGACTTTTTGTTTTGCGGCGGGCCCGCAGAACCTGCCTATACACCGCAGAAGCAGCAGGGGTAGAGACACCCGAAGCCGCCGAGCCAGCGAGCCGGCAAATCCCGAGGAAGTCGGATCTGCCACCACAGCCACTAAGCCCAACGCGAGGATCGCGAGGGTTATCCAGCAAAAAATTATCAGCAAGGGCAGCCCCATTGTGCTGCGTGTTCGACAGTCTGCGCCTCAGGGGGACTGGACAGTTGAGTTGTTCTCGTGCCGGAGAAGACGCAGCATTTAGCGGCAAGTGCGTTGGATACGACGGCAGAAGCGTTATATCGCCGCAGTGACAACGCTACTGGTGATGAGACGACTGCTCAAACCATGGGGAAAGGGGGCAGGATGATGCTGCTGCAGGACAGGGAGTGTTGAAAGAGGCTTCACGAGTGCCGCGTTCGCGTGTCTCTGTGTATGTGTGTGTGTCTAGCTGGAGACAGAAACCAGACGGGCAAGAGAGGACACGCGTTGCTATGTTGTCTGAAGATTCTGAGAGACAATCAGCAGCCTTTCGGGAGTTCGCATAGGCAGCAGGCCCTCCTTCATGAGTCTTATTATGCCATAATTGTGGCCTTATGACCTGGTCAGGAGAGGAGGGAGCCCTCAGGAAGGGGGTTCCTCACTGTGTATGCTCCCTGAACTCTGCGCCGAAGGATAAGTGAGGCGCGCTGGGATCTAATAAACGCGCCAGCCAAGAGTTAAGTTCGCACGAAGGCGGAAGCCCGGCAAATACGTTGCGTGAGAGAGCACTAAATGTGTATATCCGGAGGAAGGGGAGAGCACGGGACGTAAATCGGTTCGCTAGGCATGGAGTGGGTGGGGCAAGCATAGAGAGAGAGAGACCAGGGTGGTCACAGCAGCGCGATCACTCGGATGTGTGTGTTCCTAGGCCAAGAAGTGTCGAGTCAATAGAAAAGAGGACCTGAAAGAGTCGTATTTTGCACTGAGTTGCAGGATTTTTCGTGCGCAGCCGGCTCAGTTGGGTACTGAATTGCATCATGCCCATGGGCCGTGACAGCCCCAGAAAACAACACAATCTCAATTGCGATGCAAAAAACGGTTCCTTGCTTGTCTCCTGTTCGGCGAATGAACCTCTCCTCATCTCTGCTGATTAAGTGGAGTTTCCGATCATCCCAGAGCTCTAGGCATCTCCCCTTCCGGCGACTTTCGCTCCATTAGGCCAGCTACTCCTACGTTCTCTGCGGCGGCTGTGTCTGGACATCTCTTCTCTAGAGCTCCCAGTTTCGGCACATCCTCGCGTGGCCTGAATCCTTATTCTTGGGCTTTGTCGCTGGCCATCCTCGCAAAGCCACTGCGCCGGTGTACCGACACTGCATCCCGCGCGCAACGCGACCGCTGCCTTACCCCCGCCTCCGCAGAAGCACCCTGAACAAGCGCTCTGCGTCTGGCATCTGAGGCACCAACGGCAAGAAACGGCTCGCAGTAGAGGCTACAGCTGTTCTCTTTTCCCCTTCTTTGCCCACGGCCCCTTGCTGGCGGGCATTCTCGGGCTCCCCAGTGTCATCTGGGAAGCAGCGCATTCCTCTGAGGCGGCGGCTGCTACTGTCGCTACGAATCAAAATTATTTCAAGTGGCCCCCAATAGGCGCCAGCTGCGCATATGTTCAAAGGCGCCATGCGGGCGCACGTGTAATGGTCCCCTATCTCGCGGACTAGCTGGGGTGTATGGACAGCTCGACCCGGTCCACCTGTGCCGGTCCCATAAGCTCTCCCTCACTTCAGCAGGTTGGGGGTGAGCATTTTTCGTATGCTATTTGATAGCGGCGGCTAATTGAGATGGGCTGATAGTCCGCGAGCGCAATGCATCCTTCAAGGGATGCCGCAGGTGACCCTGCAGCAAAGGAGGGGATTGCTGCAACTGCTACCCCTGAGTCGTCTCCCTTTCCAGAAGATGTATGGAGGGGCCCTCCACGGACCTTTTCTTCCGTCGCTACTGCGACGAACGAGCCAAAGGCGGAGATGCAGTCCTCTGCAAGCTTGGTACTGCAGCCCCCCTCAGCCGCCCGTGCGCCATCCGTCGAATATTCCAATCAACCAGATTGCAGGGGGAGTTTGGAGCGCTTGGCCTTGGGGGCTTTCCAGGGGGGCACTGTGGTCACCCCACTTACTGCATGCAAAGTGGAGCTGCATCCCTTACATCCGTCCCTGGCAACCCAAGGCAGCCGAACGCAGGAGACTCTTGGGGGCCTAGATACCAAAAGGAACCTTCCCTCCTTGCATTCTACCCGTGATCAGAGGCCCCTCCCTTCCCATACGCACGAGGTACCCACTAACAGCAACAGTACCAGCAGCAACAGCAACAGTACCAGCAGCAACAGCAAAAGTACCAGCAGCAACAGCAAAAGTACCAGCAGCAACAGCAAAAGTACCAGCAGCAACAGCAACAGTACCAGCAGCAACAGCAAAAGTACCAGCAAGGCGCAGAGGGCCACCGGCATCTCCCTGTGCCCTCCAGTTTCCGTCCAGACGAATTGGGTGCTCCATCCTCCTGGAGCCTCCGCACCGCATGCAAAATTTTGGCGTCTCTGTATATATCAGCGGGTCTTTTTGGTGATTCCTAGCCCTTCTCTATGGCCTCCTTCTTCTCGCTGTCCTCCCCCCTCCTTTATTCCCTGTCTTTTCATTCGCAGGGAAACGGGGGAGCTGCAGCAGCAGCTGCTCCCGCTGCAAGGCTTTCTGCTGGCTCACTTCTCAGCGCAGCCCTCTGTAGGCGCTGCGGCTGCGGCTGTAGCAGCTAAACAAGGATCGGAAGGGTCCCCTCGCCACGCGACTTCCCCAGGCGTTACCGATGCCCCAGCAGTCGCTTCGGCTGCTTGTGCTGCTGCTGCAGCAGCGCCTTCCAGAGTTGCTCCAGACGCGCCTGCCTCCTTCGGAGGATTCCACGTGCAGTTGGACTGCCACGCCCTATTGGGAACTCTGAAGATAACCTCTCGCCGCTATTTGGTAGTAGTTCTTGAGGCAGAGCCAGTGGCAGTGGTGCAGGAGGAGGAGACGATGCCTGCGAATCCTCCCCAGCGCTGGCTAGAGCTACAGCGATCCAAGCGGCAACAGCAGCAGCAGCAACAGAAGGCTCCTCAGCTTGTGAGGAAGCTCATCAAGCTCGCTACCAGAGTTACGTGTCTTCCCTACTGCTTGAAGGCGCCAGAAGCCCCTCGGATGTCCGGCGACGGAGGCCAGCAGCAGCAGCAGCAGCAGCAGCAGCAGCAGCAGCAGCAGCACGGTGGAGAGGGGACGTCCTTAGGGAATCGTTTGGAGGCGCCGCTGCAGGAGCTAGGACTCTCCACAGGAGCCTCCCTGGACTTCCTTGATGACGATAAGGATCTTTTGGGGCTTGATGTGGGAGGGGTTGACCAAGGGGTGTCTTTTTCTCAGCAGCAGCCACAGCCGCAGCAGCCACAGCCACAGCAGCCACGGAGCGATGATGCACAGGATATCGAGGTGTCTCTTGGCAGCGCTATCGCTAAGACGTGGGGTGGACTTATTTCAGCGGCCTCTGATTCTCTGGCTTCCAGCGGGAGCTGGGGAGACAACGGGCGGGGAGGCGTAGCCTCTTGGGTACAGCAGCAAACGCAGATGCTGCTGGGGCCCCAGTCGCTTGGCTTGCTCTTACCGGAGGAAGACGCTGGCAACAACAGGAACAGAGTTAGCGACGACGAGGTGTGGGAAGCTCCTCCACGCACCCAGAGCAGCGACGGTGGCTCCCTCGAAGATCTCTGTGGAGGAGGCGGAGGGGACGACAGGAGCTTGGGGAGATCTACTGCTGGCTCCAAGACTTCTGCGATCAGAATTCGCATATCCGAAGGTGGGGAGGCAGCAGCGGAAGCAGCCACAGAAGGCAGCGAGGTGGGCGCATCGGTCCCTCCAAGAGGCAGCGGTGATATTCGGGAGAGACGGCAGAGGCACTCCCACAACCATGGGCAGAAATCAGAGCCAGAAGCTACGTGTTGCAGCGAGTCTGATGGGAACCGTTACGCAAGTGCAATTGAAAAACTCTTGTCCGCCGGCTTTTACTTCTCTACCGACATCGAATTGACACGGTCGCTACAGCGGCAGGCGGAGCTGAGACTCCCCAAGTGTCGGCAGACGCTGCCTGGATTTCCAGACTGTAGCTGGCAATTCGATTCTTGCGAGGAAAGAGATGCAGCTCTGCTCAAAGACTCCTGCTGGAACGGCTTCTCGTTCACTCAAGTCGCAGATGAGCGATTCTCGTGGAATGCTGCTCTGCTATCCGACTGGAAACTTTCTGGCATTGATCCCAGGTGGACTGTCCCTCTTATCCAAGGTACCAGAAATGTCTTCTCATCCCTTCTCCTTACGCATTCTGTCTCTTGCCTCCCCTCTTGCCGATGCTACTTCCACTGCCACTGTACCTATATCGATAGACTGACACTTCAATAGAGCAGCAGCACGCCCTACGGGGACCCCCGTTCCCTTTCGCCCTTTTCTGTGTAGCTCGCCGCGTTGCATTCTCCACTACATTCTCCTTTGCACTCTCCATTACACTCTCCATTATACTGTCCATTATACTGTCCATTACATTATCCATTACTTTCTCCATCACAAATTCTCCATTACAAATTCTCCTTTACATTCTCCATTACATTCTCCATTACATTCTGCTTTACGTTCTCCATTACATTCTCCTTTATATTATCCTTTACATTATTCTTTACATTCTCCATTACATTCTCCTTTACACCCATACACTGCCCATGGACTTGCTTTCAATTAGCTGCCTTGCGCTTGCGTCATCTTTTTCCGCCTTCCTTCCTGCCGAACTGCTCGTTTCGTCCCCCGCTCTTTTCGCCGCCTCTCGCTGTGTGCACTCTCGGTTTTTCCCCCCCCTCTCTCCCTTCTCGCCACTTGCTGCTTTTTTCATGTTGATTGCTGCCTGTACGCTTATGTTTTTGTTGCTTTTTCTGTCCGTCTCTGCGTTGCGTTGCGTATGCCGCGGAACCGAATCCAGGGGGACTGCTGCTGCTTCTTTCTTTCTCTCTGTTTCTCCTTGCCTGTGTCTCATCTATATAATATGCCCTTGGGCCGTTGTGTGCTTATCGAGGCAACGCACTCTCAGCGCTTTCCTAGGCGTCGTCCGTCCTTGCGGGAACCCCCCTTCCCCCCGTCCCCCTCCCTGCTTTCTCCGTTGTAAACATCGGCTTCGCCGACCACCCTTGCTTCTGTCTGCATGCTGCTTTTTCTCTTTTTTGTAGGGTATGTAGGCTATGCACGCGTAGAGCGTCTGGGGTCAAGGGCCCCCACCTCAGGAGGTGCTGCACGGGTGTTAGCCGTTGAGCTGCTCCTCATCTGCCGCAGAAGCTGCAGGCGGGGAGGCACTCGGTATAATGCGAGGGGCATCGATGATGAAGGAGACGTAAGCAAGCGGGAGGGAGCTGAAGGCTCAAAGCATTGTAGGGAAGCCCAAAGGAGCGGGCAGAAAGAGAGAGAGAAAAAAAAAAGAATCGGCACCGACAGCAGGATAGACGCAGCGATATGAAGGCGCTTTCTCTCCCTCTTTCTTTTTCTTTCTCTCCCTCTCTTTCTCCCTCTCTTACTCTTTCTCTCCCTCTCTCTCTCTCCCTCTCGTGCTCTTTCTCTCCCTCTCTCTCTACAGGGACAAAGCAAGCTTCCCAACGTAGATTCTGCGCACGCATATATAATATATGCACACTACGATTGCGCTGTAAAACCACATTTCTGGGAAATCTAGTGGCACACCCACTTTCTTAGGAAATGGGGCACAGTGCACCCTTTCGAAGCTCTTCGAAATATAGAGAGCCTCTTCTCTGCCTTTGAAAGGTTTCCCTCGCTTCTAAGGGCCCCCCTTTTTTTGCCGTCGGTATATCTCTTTCTCCGCACCCCGCTTTTTGTGCTGTGTGTTCAATGTGTGTCTGCTTTTGCAGGTTGCAAATTTTGCAGAAAGCGAGCAGCGCGTTCGCCTCCTGCAGCTTGAGAGTCTCTCCAGCAGCAGCAGAAGTCGCACTGGGATGCCTCGAACCAGCCGTTTCACCAGGCCGCGAGTCTCTGCGCACTCCTGCTCGTCGACAGCCTCGAGTGTAGAGACACCGGAGGCATCAGACGCAGGGGTTCCCTTGCTGTGCAGAAAGGGCTGCTGCTATGGCCACTGGGCTTCAATGCTGCAAGTGCGAGGCTCGGTGCCTCTCTTCTGGTGTCAAAGTGGCCTTACAGCGCAGACTGCAGTCACTCGCAACGCTCTCCTTACCGCAAACGCATTCGAGAGACATCTTGTGAGAAGTCGCACGAATTTGCCGCTGCTGTCCTCTAGGATGCACAAAACGTTCTGCTGCTCGGCGTCATGCGCGACACATACCGAGAGATAGAAGAGAGCGATAGAGATAGACAGAGAGAGAGATAAGACAGACATATACATATGTATACATATATATATATATATATATATATACATACACACGTATATACACATATACACACACTCACGCAGACTTACATGGGACTTCAAATAATTAGTTGTTATTGTTGCTCTATGCTGCCTTTTATCCACCAGCACATGCTGCACCGCCGCTACGGCCCTCATCTGGTGTTTATCAATCTGCTGAGTACGACGCGAGAGAACGAGAGACGCCTTACCAGCAGTCTCGAGGAGCAGCTGCAGCTGTACGATCACGACCACCTCTCCGCTATACCGCCTCTCCATATACGATACGACTTCCATTCACAGGTACCTTGTCAACGTTGGCCTCTTAGCGTTGTTAAACCCTTCTCCTGTCTGGCTGGCTGCCTGTCTTTGGTAGCAGAAGGGACTCTTAGTGCTGCGACTGCCTTGACGGCCGCTGCAGACCAAATCCAAGGCGTATGAGGCTGCTCTCGGCGACTTCGTACAGCGCGAGCTGCTAGCCTCTGCTGCAGCTATCGGCTTCTTCTGCAGCCCTTGCGAGGAAGCGGGAGGTGCTGCAGCAGGAAGGAAGCAGGAGGGCGTCTTCCGTACGAACTGTCTGGATTGTCTAGACAGAACGAACGTGTTTCAATGGTGAGGAGGGGAGCGAGACAACCGCAAGTGTGTGTTTCTCCGGTGGCATCTAAGGGTGTTGGTGCCTCAGTACGCATGCGATACTGCCCCTCTCTATCGGAGCAGTATCGCATTCAAGAGAAGGGGGGGGAAGCAGGCCTCCCCTTGCTTGCTGCATGCATTCGTTTGGCGGCGCCTCTCGCCTGCCCTGTGCATCTTTTTCTGTGTGAGCTTCGTTTCGCGCTTGGCTTGTCTCGATCTATTCATAGGGGCACACTGCTCTCTACCTTGCTCTGTTCCTGCCTGCTCGGCTCCTCTTCGCAGCCTTTCGCGGCTCCTCTTCGCAGCCTTTTGGTGGCATGGCAAACGTGTCACGTGCTTCGTTTTTGATGCAAAGAAGCATCGCCGAAGGACGCCTTTGCGCTTTTTCTTTCAATTTCTGCTGTCCGCATATTTGTTCGCCATGTGGATGTGTGCACCAGGTTCTACTGCTGGTTCTGGCTTACACAGCTGTTGCGGGAGAGTCGATATGAGGCCTTCCTGCTACCCGTCACGTCTCGCAGTGCGCAAGGCTCATCGCATCCCATATCTGTCACTCCCTGCTCCCCCTCTGAGTACAGCGGCTGCGAATACTTGAGAGTGCTCAGCACTCCTAGGTATTCAACAAAGAAGGCAAAACGGCTCTGCGAGTCCCCTTTCAGCTCAGTCCTCTGTGTGAATTACGTGATTTTTCCTCAGATTTACTGACTGTCTCATCGGCTCCCTTGGGGAGCGGCCCGTGGCTTGGGGGCACGGAGGAAGCTGCTCCTTCGAACTCGCTCGTCACCCTTGTTTTAGGAGACACTGGACGTCCAGATCAGCAACAACAGGTGCTGCTGCAGCGGAGCAGCAGCAGCAGCCTTAACGGCGGAAGCAGCGCGGCAATCAGAGCAGCGCTGAGCAACAGCTTTTCGCGGGCTGAAGACGCTGGCCACCCCGTATACACGCAAAAATCCAGCACGAACATCCCTGCAACACCCTGCAGCGACGCTCCACAAGATGAGACTTGTGTTTTGAGGGATCTCATCAAAAAGATGTGGGCAGATCAGGTCAGTATGTGTCTCCCTTACTATGGCTGCGCTGCGTCGCTCCCGCGCAGCCGCTAGCGCTCCTACATACGTCTCTGTCTTTCTTTCTCCAGCAGCAGCAGCTAGGATTGCTGCTGGTCGCTTGGTGGGATCTGAGGTAAAGGCACGTGATCCGCAAGAAATTCATAAAGGAAAAAACACTTGTGACGTTTCCTGTCTGATTTCTGGCCGTATAAGGCACCTTTGCGTGCGCCAATGCCCTGTACGGACACCCGAGGAGCAGTTGCGCATTAAATACCTGACGCACTAAATATGCTTTTTCTGCTTCAAAGCTTGTCTGCACTAAATCTGCTTTTTTTGCTTCAAAGCTTGTCTGCACTAAATCTGCTTTTTCTGCTTCAAAGCTTATCTGCACTAAATCTGCTGTTCCTGCGTCAGCCCTTGTCTGCACTAAATCTGCTTTTTCTGCTGCAGCCCTTGTCTGCACTAAATCTGCTTTTCCTGCCGCGGAGCTTGTCTGCACTCAATCTGTTTTTCCTGCTGTGGAGCTTGTCTTTTCAGGGGGACAGCATTAGCCTGCAGTACACGGGCACGGGATCAGTATTTTCCTCTCAGATAAAGCAGGGAGGGAAAAGCTCTCTATCCTCTAACATTGACCATGCCATCAAATCTATTGGCAGGTCAGTTGTTGCGCATGAGTATTGCGTTCCTCCTCTTCATCTTGTTTTTCAGTGTGTGACTTGCCCTCCTCCTGATCTTTTCCTCTTCCGTCCATGTGTCGTCCTTCCGTTCGCTCTGGCTGCTGTGGAGTCTTCCTTCCAGCAGGGGCTCTCGAGGCGGAGACTGCGCATTTAAAACTTGCGGTGTTTTTTTTATTTTTTTAAAAATTTTCTGAGGCTTGCAGAGGGAAGCGTCGAGGGCCTTGAGAGCAGCGTCAGAACACTAGCAGGCGTGTGGGGTGTCTGCTGTCTGCAGGTTCTACCACAATACATTTGAGGACTCATTCAGGCAGGAGTGCGTTGATCTGCTAGTCGGGCAGCACAGACTCTCAGGAGAGGCTTTCTACCCACAGGGGGACGAGGGTTCCGAGAGACAAGGACTGCCTGTCTCGACGCAGCATCACATCTCTGGAGAGCTTCTATCCCCGACCGTTCCCCGTGAGGCTCCCTCAAGCCGGCTCAGGCATGCCCCTTTGCAGCCAGCAGCCTCCGATTCAGTTGAAGGGCTCGCAGCAACCTCACAAGCGGAGGCTGCCGCTGCTGCTGCGAGCAGCGGCAGCGGCAGCAGCAGCCTATTTCGGCTCGGAGATACTGCTGACGAGGGTTCTCCCGTCCCTTTGCGGATCTGGATCGGCACGTGGAATGTTGCGGGAAGAGACATTCACGAGTGGGATAATTTAGAGGATTGGCTGACTCCCATCAACGAGCAAGCGGACCTGTTCGTCTTCTGCGTACAAGAACTGGTGCGCATGCATTCTCCGCACTGAGAGAGAGTCACCTGCAGCCGACATACAAGCAGTGTCTATTACGACTACTGCTACTACAGCAGCTCATCCCTTTCTAGCTTTTGTCATTTAGCGAGGCTCACTTGCTCAGACTGTCTCTTTTTGGGTGGAACACAATAAGCCCCCCCCCTTTTTGCGTCTGTGCATGCCGCGTCCCCTTCTTCTTCGCAGGTCGAACTGACGGGGCTTCGCGTGCTGATGAGTTTGAAGGATCGAGACAAAGAATCTCGTTTGGACGTAAAGACATCCGCTGGGCTTCAAGCTCTCGCATGGACAAGCCCCCCGCCTCCCTACCTCGACAGTCGGAGAAAGACTCTCGACAGCCTGCAGAAACTCCTGAGGAAAAGCAGCAGCGGCAGCACAGACGTCTCGGCGTGGGGACGCGACTACGAACGTTCGAACATCTCGTGCGAGGACCAAGTGCAGCGGGAGCGTGCTTATGACAGAAGCAACAGCAACAGCAGCAGTAACAGCAGCAGCAGCAGCAGTAGCCGCGGGGGAAGCAAACAGTCCACGTCCTACGTGAAGGTTCGCAGTGTATCAATGGTTGGCCTCTGGATATCGCTTTTTATTCGCTCGGATCTGCGGCGGCTTATAAACAGTAGGATACTCCCTCCCGATATATATATGTATATCTTTCTTCTGTGACATTCCACACTGCTCCTTATGATGGCCACTAAGGAGCTAATGAAGCTAATGCGGTCTTTGTTTTGCACTCATACGGACTCATAGAGTGGCCTTTTTAACACGCGTCTTGTGGCTTCTCTTTTCGGATTTCACTGCGGGTGGGGCCCCTCACTTCTTACACTTTTCTTCGTTTCCCCTCAAAGTGCCTACTACTGCAGCGTCTACTCTCCGTCTTTGCTGGTCTCAGATGTCGACGCAACAACTGTGAAAGTCGGAATGAAGGGAAACGCCGGCAACAAAGTGCGTCCAGCTAGAATGCTCAAGAAGCTGTTCAGGAGGCGAACCTGCAAAGGGGAGGGGGGGAGAAAGCGAGAAGCGCGTTTTTAACGCGCATTGTATTTTTAAAAGAAAGCATCCCTTTCCCTCTGCTTTTATCGCGAATCTAACGTTCCATAGGCAATGCAGTCGAGCTGCCGAATGAGTGCTGCCTCACTCACTTGCTTTCTGTGTTTTTTTATCATGCCACATTTCTTGTTCAAGCAGAACGCGCAGTAGACCGCTGCGCCCGTCAATGTTGCCAGCATCCATTCCCTGTGCGCATGCAGCAAGCAGCTTCTGTGCGCTCGCGGAGTGTTGCTCATCATATTCTGTCATTTCCTGCATTTATTTTTCGATGTCTGCAGGGCGCGGTGGGGGTTCGACTCTCGTTAGGCGGAGTTTCGTTCTCCTTTTTAAATGTTCATCTCGCCTCAGGGCAGACCAGCAGCCACGAGAGAGTGCAGCAAATGCAACTCGTGCTGCAGCAAGCCTTCCAGGTAAGAGAGGCCTCATCAGCTCCACGCGTATCTCTTTTTCGTCTGGGCATTTTTTCCCAGGAGGACAGCCGTCTAGCGGCCTCCTTTCTCTGAGTTGCTTGCTCCGCGTTCATGGCTTGAATGGGCTGAATGAATGATCCATGGAAAATCCGCGACAACAACGAAGGAGGCACTATGGGTGGCACTCAACTCACCGTTCGCTTTAATGAGGCTGTTATCCTCGCGTCAAGTCCTTCGCACACTCACTCCCCTTTCTGGCTGCGTTGCAGACCGGCTCTTCAAACTACCCAATGGCTCTGCACCACGACTTTGCTTTCATTGCGGGAGATTTCAATTTTCGCCTGCACATGTCTCACCAGCAAGTTGTCGAGGAACTGAACAACTCCAACTTCAAGCCTCTTCTTTCGTACGACGACTCTTTGCTCTGTTCCTCTCTCTCTTTGCTGCACAGAGAATGCGCCGTTCCTCTCTACTGCAGTCTCGCGAGCCACTCTTCTCATTTTCCGGGAGCTCCCGCTTCTTCTTGAAACACAAAACCGGCTTCATATTTCTGCTGTTACATTTCTTTGCAGGTGCGATCAACTGTACATCTGCAAAAAACACCATGTTCCCCCTTTTAACTCCCTCATAGAACCGCCAATCACCTTCAGGCCGACGTACAAGTACAAAAGAAACTCTCAGCTTTATGACCTCAAGAGGACACCAGCCTGGTACGCCGCCCATAAAAACACAAAATGCAAACTGCATACAGACTGTTTCAGCTATGCCTTTTTTCGCTTTCCCTCTCTCTGTCTCTCTCTGTCTGTCTGTCTGTCTGTCTGTCTGTCTCGCTCTCTCTCTCTGAGCAGGCGTCGTCGCTCTTCCATAGACAAGGACGATCTCTGCGTATTGACCTTTCTACAAGGATTGACTTCACGGCAATCTTTTTGCGTGGTTTTCGAATATGCAGGTGCGATCGCATTCTGTATGGCGGCCGTCTCGTGCCCCCTGCCGACAGTCGAGGAAACCGCGGCAACACCCACTCTGCGGGTTCCCCAGTGCAGTGCCTTTCCTACACGCATCACCAGTGCTACTTTTCTTCGGATCACAAGCCTGTTTCTGGAGTATTCGAGGTGTCTGTGCCCTCCAGAAGACTGTCAAGGAAAGGCTGCGTGCGCAGCCGCCTGTGGCAGGGAGAGTCGCTCAGAAGTTCATCTTTTTTCCAGGATTCGCTTGACCTGAGAGACACTCTACGGCCCCCCTCGAATTTTCCCAAGGCGTCTCTGGGAGCTGAGAGCGCAAGTGGTACTTCTTCTATCGACTGCACGTCCAGCCGAGACTGGACCTCTAGGGCAGCACAACCCGAAAGTCACAGCTTTTCTCCCTTCCCTACACTGACGGATGTCGATATGTTGGCTGGAGGAGTGCCTCTTCTGCTTCCCGAACGATCAGCAGGCCCCCTCGTGCAAACGCCCTCCAACGAGGCCAAAGAATCAAATCTTCTCAGTCTCCCTGCTTCCCCTCGGGATGGTGGCACACAGATGTCAACTGAAGGCAGCCTCGATGCGATAGCTTCACGTTTGGTAGCTGCTGCTGCAGCAGATAGCGGAAACATCAGGCAGCTACCGGAAACAGCCACAAGCGTGAAGGACGGGAGTGCGAATGCAATGGATGCCCTAGACGCTTTGCTAAGCAACATCCGCGTGGAGAATCAACAAACAGGGGGGTCTGCTTCGGAGTGGTCCCTACTGGATCTATCACAGCCTCTCTCGGCAGCCCCTCGCTTGGAAGAGAGGCAGATCGTGACTGACGCCTCAGAGGGGCAACAGCCTACGGCGCGGGGGGGAGCCCAGCAACATGTCTTCGAGGACCTTTTGTTGTAGAGTAGTAGACGTTTTTCAACAAAACGAGGCTGCACACAAATGCCAGTTTGGCCGTTGCCTGCGTACGTTCGCACACGCTTTTTTCGGGTGGACACAGAGCTCCTAAAGGTCGGGCAAGGGGAAAACTGGCTAAGAAAGAGGTATGTTCTATCTTGAGAGTACATGCTGAGGGGCAGGCGATGAGTGTGCAAGGCCGACGTCTGTGTCAAAGCATGCTTGGACGCCCCTGCCACTGAAGTTCGCTTAAATGGGTTTAGGGGGACTGAAAAGATCTGATAAGGAGCTCACACGCAGCAGGTAGTAAAATTTTTGGATTCCATGAGGTACCTTTGTAGCTTCCTCTCAACCACTGCTGCACTGCAAACGTCTTCCTTGACGCTGCTACGAAGTAAAAGGTCGCACTTTGTTCTGTACGCCGAGCCCACGGCTTTACCACGGGTGCCGTTAAGCCTTCCTATGAGTCCATTCCTTTAGTAAGGTGAAGTGTGGCGTTGCAGCGGACAAACACTAAGCTCTTAACAAACCTAAAAGGGACAAATGGGATAAGCGCCTTGAGGTTGCTGCCATAGGGCCTGGCACGGGAACCTCGACTGACGTTTTAGACCGAGTGAAGGAGGCACGAATACTCTGGCGATGGCAGCTTGCCTGGGGTTCTTCCCAACAAATGGAATCAGGAAGACGAAACACAGAAACATCTCGAGAGCTGCGACTTTTGCAGAGCGGCTATCCCACCAACTAGCCAGTTTTTTGAAGCGATTCCCAGAAAGCCCCGCAGAGAAACCTAGGATTGCATAGGGCTCTAAATTATCATCGAGGGCAGCAGACCAGCAGTTAACGAACTAGTTCCGAGCTGCGGATGGTACGAAATATAGACGCCTTCAGCAGGAGAGCGGTGTTAGCAGGACTGGGCTTCCTTGTCGAGCCCCCACCTTCACACCGTCATGATATTTCTCATCGACTACCCTCAACACAGCTCTGTATGTCTTAAGATAGCCCTGTATCCTGCACTCGGAAGGGTCTATGAGCACTCTGACAACCGAACGGACAACCCCAAACAAGCTGCTGTAGGAATTGCGTGCTCTCACGTGTTCCTTCACTCGTTTCGATTTCCCCTTCGACCCGAAGTCCTATGCATGACGGCATTACACTGAGCTCAGGTAGAGAAGAAGCTTTGCAGCTAAGAAGAGTGCCAAGGGAAAGTACGTTCTATTGGAATGCGTGTCAACAGTTCGCCTTCAGCTGGATTTTCCGTCCCTTCCTCTGTCCCTTCTCTGCCTAAGACTGCCCGTCAGTTACCTCGTCACACCCTATCCGTTCTCGCTTCTACGCGTGACGTTGGGACAGAAAGCTCCGTCGATGAAAGCGAAAACATTGGACTGACCCAAATTTCGTTTGTACAGGGATACACAACAGTCATCTTGCAATATAGGGACAAATAGGCTCATTGTACGTCATAGAGGCGTGATGAATGCAAGCATGCAAAAGACTTTTATGACAAGCTGCATTTAGCCGGGAAAATGGTGTAGTTAGTGCTACTATGTGCCCCTGCCTCTCAGTGCCCATGCGACTACGGTAGCTGTGGAGGCTGCTTCTTTGACTGATGCATCTATGACTCCACACATATCCACTTACAAAAAAAGACTACCGCTAGAGACAAAGCCGCGCATTTGCAGCCAGGCAAGCAGCCCTAATGCATAGTCTGGCGGCTGAGTGGAGAGCCCTGGAGATTTGCCTCAGGCGAGAGGAGCTATACATGGAAGGAGAAGCACTTCGACGATGGCTTTATTCATGTAGAGAAGGTCTTGTGCCTGTGGGGCTTACTGCAGTAGAAATAATTACACAATGCCTGACTCATCAGCTTATGCAGAAAGAGGCGCAACAGCAAGCTTTGAGGGAATAAGAAAGCTGAAGCACGAAAATCTACTAGTATATGGAGAAATATGAAGCCGAGGCTAGAAAAGGACACAAAGAAAACAAAAGGCTGCTTCATAAGTGCCTTGTCTTATGTGCATCCGAAGTGTTACATCAGATGGTCGCAAGGTGAGCTGCGACAAAATAACCGCCCGGTGGGGCTTCTGCCAACGATGAGATCCTTGAGGCTTTAAAGAGCGAATGAGAGCAAATGCTGTGCCTTTGGCTAAAGAAAAAGCCAATCGGGGTTTGCAATCTATGGATGGCAGTACTATTCTAAGTGGTCCTAACCCACAGTCTACTCTTAGCTGGAAAAGGATGCCTCAGGAAACCTGCGCTCCCAAGCGGCCCAGGCAGCCCTCCAGCAGCGCTTCTGCTTCTTCTGTGAGAGACAAAGGTGATGTAAGTTGACACAGCAAAACAAGCGCAAACGCTTTGAAGAACATGAGCAACCAAGCTGGACCAAGCGGGAGCAGGCTGCCTGGCGAGCAAAGGAGACGCATCTGGGAAAGGAAAAACACCCAACGCAGGCTGCAACGCAGTGAAGAAAGCTACTGAGGATAAAACCGTAATTAGGAGCCCACCACCTGGCAATCCTGTGAGAATGGACCTGCTTAGTATTCATCAAGAAGTGTTGGCGTGACATCACACTGGATAAGAAGTTGATCTGTTATCCAAGGAGACGGTGCGTAGACACATTCTGCATGTTCACTCACTATCCCAGGCGCTAATACTCATGTTTGCCGAAGGGCCGCAGAACGCAAGAATTGGCGAGGCTACGCTATTTGAATAGCATTTCAAATCGGCAATGTGTCCTGTCAGCATGATTCATGGCTTCTAGGTTTTACCAGTGCACCATGACGCACTACAAGGTAAGCCATGGATGACCCATAGGAGGGTGAGCACGTAGTCCTGGCTTCACTCTGAGAAGCCCAGAGTGCCGCGACGCACTACAATCAATCCTGGTATCGTCAGCAACGCTGGTTTTCTCTAGAGTAAGCGGGGTAGACTGGTTACCCCTACAAGATGACGCAGTCACTCCTTCCAACAGCTCAGCAGTGTAAAAAAAAGGGTTCTGAACACGCATCCCCTCTTACTGGCTCATCTAATTCCTTTTTACAAATTCAGCATATCTTTTAGCCCAGGAACAGCAGGAGTGGACAAATACCTTAGAGGAGCTCGCGAATGAGATAAACATCACGAGCTGCCGGCAGGCGGGCCACCTGCTGGACGTCCAGCGAAACGCATTGAGCTAAGCCCCGAGTCAGCTTAAAATCGCGTCAACGTTATCAAAGCCATCCACTACATAAATCGAATATTGGGCGGCAGGCGTATCATTCAGGGGAAAAGGAAAAGTGCAGGAGTCGACAAGCGCTGTGGGGCAAATCGTAGTGTTGGAGAAAAAGAACGGGAAGGTGGGGCACATGACTGAAGTTTAAACCTCTGAGCAAGACCACCGTAAAACAAGTGTTCCCGATGACCACTTTTGGCACACTGCTTTACAAGTGGCAGGGTTTAACCGTATACACAGCGTTTGACATCACAGACGCTTTCTTGCAAATCCTCGTGCAGCTTGGTTACAGGCACAAAACTGAATTCCACACTCGCACTTGCAAAGTCGAGTACACCTTATGCGTTTGGGACTGGTTGATGCCACAGCTGAGCTGCAACGGCAAGTTAGACACATCTTTCAAATGATCAAAAACACTTGGACTGCTCTCTATATGGTCACCGTCTCGGTCTTCATCCGAAACGTTCAAGTGTACTACCCACGTCCCCATAATGTGCCCCTATACTATTACAGGACAAACAGTAATATGTGAAGGCAAGAAACTGTTCGTCTTCAGTCAGGATAATTGCTTGTGGGATTCCGTGTTTTGGCTGCACGACCTAAATCAGATGCGGCAAGAACTGAAGCGAAGGAGGTGTGTCCTTTGCCTTTACGCACCCGCAGGGGCGTTGAGAAGTTCTATGGGCTTGCAACGTAAGATTCAAATATTTTCCCTGGATTTGCTCATATTACTAATACTTTGACTGACCTATTTCAGAAAACACCGTCTGTTCCCTGAATGCAGGAGGCAAATGCCACAGCAAGGCCATATTTCGTCGCTAAAACTTCTCGGGTACTTGCATTGTTTGGCGGTTATGACCGTCATATCTTCCTAACAACCGATGTTAGTGGCGTAGTGGCGAGAGCCATTCTTCCTCAATAGCTACGAATTATTACAGAAAACCAAATTATCTGTTTGTATTCTTATCGCTTCACCGGATCCGAGCAGCACCTAGCTGTGCGGAGAAAGGACAATGTGGTGTGGCCGGGGGTGAACTATACCGGCACCACCTGTATGGGGGTTAGTTTGTTGTCCAGCTCAACCATCAGCATTTGATGGACCTTGGGAAGAGTGTTCGAGCATTTGAAAACCCTAGACATATATGCTGCCTTGAGCGCCTCCTGCAGTATGACGGTACAGTGAAGTATATGAGAAGCGACACCAGCGTGGTGACCAATTCCCTCTCCCGAAGCCCGGGTGGCGCGCTCTTCTGCAGCGAAATCGCTATTGATCGGTGATACTTTATGGCTTCCTTTAAGCTTACATTAGTCATATACTTTTGATACCTATGCAACCGCTACTCTTGCCAAAACTTTGAATAGCGAAGGGATGAAGCATCGCCTTGCTGAGGATGGCCTTCTGTGTTTCAGAACATGACGGGGACTCCATCAGTTGTATTTGCTGACCTCGCTTAACCATAACCTTCTTCCAAAGCACAAGCTTCTGTTCTTCCAAATTATGGCTAAATTCACGGGTACATAGGGAAAGCACCACCGGTACTTCTGGTGACCATGAAATGCGTCCGGCGGAAGAGGAGTGTGCACTACTATGCCTAGTTTGTCGGCTGCTGAAGCCGCGAAATTTTCCTAGGCCTGGCCATTTCGCAAACTTCCCAGATACTGGAAAGGTTTAAACTAATATGATTTCGGGTGTTATTAACAGACTGCCAGAGTTCAAGGGTCAGGATAACACGTACCTCTTGCCTCTTGCCTCACCTCTATAAAAAAAAACGCCTCACGAACTGGTTCAATTATTCTCAACTCATCTACGGGAGCCAGGCGACTTTACCAGGAGCACCGGTGCGGCTAGGGATCAGAAGGTCGTTAGAGCTATTTGGTGTGCCTTTATGATCCGCCTAAACATTGATCATTGTATGACTCCTTGCGAGTCATTCTAGACAGCTATAGAAAGAGCCCACGAAACGTACTCTTCTTTGGGTTTTGCCCTACTGCGTTCACAACCATCTTATTGTTTTGGCTATAACACAACAGTATAATCATCCACCCGTTGCCCTCTCACGTCATTAGTCTACGCTGAGGAGCCCCTCTTCGACGCAGGCCTGGACCAGGTGAAATAAGGTAAGCAATCATCCTTATTGGCGGAGGGGTGCGGGAACTATTGACTAGTGCACGCGAAACCATGCGCAAAACCCAAGAGAGACAAATACTGATTTGTGATAAGTGTGTGTCGGTTGTGTGTTTCGAACGCGGCGATTTGGACTTGCTGAATCCAAGAGCTACAATGTGCACCAGGTGCACAGAGGAAGCTTGCGGCCAGAGAGCTAGGCACATACGTGGCTTTCTCACGGCTTAATGCGTTCTCACCTTTTGCTGATTTCTTTGATGCTGGACTTGACAGATACCTATCAGTTCCAAACGTTCAAAACTCTCCGGATTATCACGGAATCGACCGCACATAGAGGGCTTGTGTGGAAGCGGAGGATCCACAGGGAGCCATACAAGTGCTGGATTCGAATATTTTTGAGGGCCAAGGGCACTATAAATGGGAATTTACAGTGAATTGTGTTGGTGAACGCCAGCCTATGTGGCTGGTGAAGGACCATTTACAGACTTTGTTGGCGGCGTGAGACATTGCTGCTCAGTTTGCTTGGCAAATCTAGTCCCCACTCACGGTAGTCCTCGCACATCCCTTCGTTAGTGCCCCTTTACAACGCATGGTCTACCTGAAAAAACTACCTTCATCTATGCGCACTGCTGGAAAAGTTGCCGGTTATTATTGTTTAACGGGGCCGCACCACTCATTCTATGTGCAGCCACTCCCAGGTATGTTGCCTATATTCTTTCTGCTGCCTCTGTTGAGGCGCCGGATTCGACTGTTTTGCATGAGCGCATGCGCATGCGGAGACTGCTCAGGAGATGCAGGGGCCCCGCACTCCAGAGTTAATATGCATTTTGATTCACCTTCCACATTATACTTGGCTTTCGTGCTGCCGTAGCAGGAGGCTTCCACATTTCGGCGCTAACATCGGGCCACCGCACCTCCTTGGTCATTTGGGTCTTGCCCCTCATTCGTTTTAGCTAGTGCGTGGGTGCCTTTCGTCCTGTCAATATCACTTTGGTGGTTGACGCACACACTTATTCCTCTCGCTAGCATTCTTTCGCACTGCTGGCTGTTTTGGAGTGTCAGCGAGGCGATAATCTTTCACGCTCGTGAACTCGGTTGGTCTGGGCGTACAGGTACGGAATGCGATGGCGTGTGCGTTGAAATAGAACGTAGGGGAAGGTGTAGCGGGCTAAGGTACTCGAGGACAATTTATACACCACTAGTTTTATGCAGACAAACACGAGTAAAGCGTTTAACTGGTTTTTTGCTTGGTCGTTGCAGACTACTGCTAAGAACGCAATATTGTGTGTGTGCTCTAGACGCTATGCGCGACTTGCTGTGAACGCTCAGAGTGCCTCTAGAAAGTGCAGCAATGCGTCCCCCCAGCTGTCACCTTCCTTTTATGCCACATGCACTGAGCATGCAGTTGAAGGCGTGAGTTCTTTAGAGAATACCCAACAGCCTACTAAGTATATTTTGAGTATGGAGGCTAGTGGCTCGTTAGGTCTTTTGCAGTATCCAAGCTCAACCGGAGCCACTCCCTGGGCAGCCCCTCTTGCTCTCAAGCTTATGACCGCGTTGGGTTGGGGAGGTAGAAGATAGCTTGCTATGGAAACATATGGGCTGACTCTTTGTTGCCAATGAGCTATTCAGGTTCTGTAGTGAACTTGGCAGTAACGAGAGGCTACAAGAACATTTACTCCACCCCAGAACCTCATGGCTTATAAAGAGTGGTGAAAAAGGTTTGTTGGAAACTCGGTGAAGTGTTAGCCGATTGCACGAGTTTCCATGCCCGGGTCTCTTCCGGGAGACCCCGGAGCGTAATGGACGAAGGGAAGGCTGGCATTAACTGGGACTAACGCAACTGCATCTCCACCCACACACGACGCACACTCATCTAGGGTGTGTGTGAGTTTGGCAGCTTTCGCTTTATTTGGCTATATGCTAAAAGCAAAAAGCACCTCGCCCCTCTGTCTGCCCGTCCCCGCACTACCATGTGGTGCTGCTGGTGGGATACACGTATGTTTGCTTGCTTCTTGATAGTGTGCTAAGAGTTTCTGTGTGCATTGTTCCCCTGTTTGAAGCACTTATTTAAAAAAATAGACCAGTACATAGCGATAAGCGAAAGGGGAGGGTAGGTGCTGCAGTGGGGGGAACGAGGGGCATGTGCCAGCAGCAGCCTCCCCGCGGGGGATGCTACGCACTGCGGGGAGGGGGCGGCCAGAGAGCATTGGTGCCGTTGCCGCAGAATGCTAGTGGTCTTTTGCTCTCTCTGCATCTGTTATTGTACAGTTTAGGTGTCTGCAGAACACTGCGTGCTTTTCTATTGCCCGTGTGGTGGCGCTTACGGCGGCAACAAGCACCTACGGTCACCAGCACACTCTTTGCCCGCTTCCCCACTCGCGTTGCTTTCGGGTTCTTGTGGGTTTGTGTCTCTACACATAGCCCACTTGTTTTCTTAGCTCATTTACTTCGTATTTCATTCTACATCGCTTCACAATGGCGGAGGCACCGGCAGTTGGCATCGACCTTGGCACCACATACTCTTGCGTGGGTGTATGGAAGAACGAAGGCGTCGAGATCATAGCGAACGACCAGGGTAACAGAACCACCCCTTCCTATGTCGCATTCACCGACACAGAGCGACTGGTGGGCGACGCCGCGAAAAACCAGGTGGCGAGGAACCCCGAAAACACCGTTTTTGACGCGAAGCGTCTCATTGGACGGAAGTTCGATGACCCCGCGGTGCAGTCGGACATGAAGCACTGGCCGTTCACGGTCAAGGCTGGAAGCGGGGGTAAGCCACTTATTGAAGTGAACTACCAAGGTGCTACGAAGACTTTTCATCCGGAGGAAATTTCCGCCATGGTGCTGGTGAAGATGAAGGAAATTGCCGAGTCGTTCGTTGGCAAAGAAGTTAAGGAGGCCGTTATTACAGTACCGGCATACTTCAACGATTCTCAGCGCCAGGCCACAAAGGACGCCGGCACTATTGCGGGTCTGAACGTTCTTCGTATCATTAACGAGCCTACGGCTGCAGCCATAGCCTATGGTCTGGACAAGAAGGGACAGGGTGAAATGAATGTCCTCATCTTCGACATGGGTGGTGGCACATTTGATGTTTCCCTGCTTACCATCGAGGACGGCATCTTTGAGGTCAAGGCTACAGCTGGTGATACCCATTTGGGTGGAGAGGACTTCGACAACAGACTCGTGGACTTCTGCATGCAGGATTTCAAGCGGAAGAATCGAAGCAAGGATCTTAGCGGCAACAGCCGTGCTCTAAGACGCCTGCGCACTCAATGTGAGAGAGCGAAGCGCACCCTCTCGAGCAGCACCCAGGCCACCATCGAGATCGATTCGCTGTTTGAAGGCATTGATTATTCCGTATCTCTTTCCCGGGCACGTTTCGAGGAGCTCTGCATGGATTACTTCAGGAGTTCTCTTGTGCCAGTGGAGAAGGTGTTGAAGGACGCTGCCATCGACAAGCGCAGTGTGCACGAGGTTGTCTTGGTCGGAGGGTCTACCCGTATTCCCAAGATTCAGCAGATTATCCAGGAGTTCTTCAATGACAAGGAGCCCTGCCGTTCCATCAACCCGGATGAGGCCGTGGCATACGGTGCTGCAGTGCAGGCCGCCATTCTCAAGGGTGTCAACAACTCTCAGGTACAGGATCTTCTGCTGCTAGACGTAGCGCCACTCTCGCTTGGGTTGGAGACTGCTGGAGGCGTCATGACGAAGTTGATCGAGCGCAACACCACCATCCCCACCAAGAAGTCCCAGGTCTTCACCACCTACGCAGACAACCAGCCAGGAGTGTTGATTCAAGTCTTTGAAGGAGAACGTGCCATGACCAAGGATAACAACCTCTTGGGCAAGTTCCACTTGGATGGAATCCCTCCTGCCCCCCGTGGCGTCCCTCAAATCGAAGTCACCTTCGATATTGATGCAAATGGCATCATGAACGTCACTGCCACCGAAAAGAACACTGGGAAATCCAACCAGATCACGATTACGAACGATAAGGGCCGCCTGTCACAGAGTGAAATCGACCGCATGGTGGCAGAAGCTGAGAAGTACAAGGCGGAGGACGATGCCAACAAGCAGCGTGTGGAGTCAAAGAACGCGTTGGAGAACTATTGCTACTCGATGCGCAGCACCATGGAGGATGAGAAGATTAAGGACAAAGTCTCAGACAATGACAGAGAAGCCGCCACCTCTGCCATTCAAAAAACACTTGACTGGCTCGACAAGAACCACCTGGCAGAGAAGGAGGAGTTCGAAGCGAAGCGAAAGGAGGTCGAGGCAGTCTGCGCACCGATCGTCACGAAGATGTATCAGGCTGCTGCTGGCAGTGGAGGGATGCCTGGGGGAATGCCCGGAGGAATGCCCGACATGTCGGGGGCAGGTGGAGCAGGTGGACCAACTGTAGAGGAGGTCGACTAAGCGTTTTATTATAGCGTTGTTGTGTAGGTTGGTAGAGCGTCTTAGGGCACGATTGTTCTGGCGGATGCCACTGCATCACGTGGATGGTCGTGCTTTGATGTATGGGTGTACGCACGACAAAACCTTCATATGGTACTCCGGTGCATCGGCAGTGTGGTTCTGATCCGATGCCTACTTGCACTGGGCCGTCTGTGTGCCTGCTAGTTGAGTCGGAATCGGCGTCTGTGCCATATTTAGACGGCAAAAGAATCACTTGTTGGGTTGCACCTCTGCGTTGGTCGGTGGGCTCTGTGGGTCAAACATCAAGGAAGGAACAGTTGTTGGTTGCTACTTCAAGCTCACCGCCGTACAGTCCACGCCAACTGTACGCCTTTTGGAGAATGCAATCCAGCCTATCGTACTGCTATTTTCTACCAGGAAGGACTGTAGTCGGCTTTCTTGTTAGTGTAGTCATGCGCACTGTTACATAGTATAGCAGAGGGATGTTGGCGGAGTCGTGCGGGAAATGTGTAGGAGGCAGCGGCCCATCCAGACTTCTTAGCTGTAAGGGGATGATAAGCACATCAACAGGTAAGGAAAAATGGTATCCTGTTTCCGGCCCTCGTGAGTGTAGCTCTTTCATTGGGCCCCCAGGGGTCAGCAAGTGGCGGAGTGACTCCTTGAATGAACTCGAAGGGGCCAGGAAAAACCTGGGCGTCTTGCTGGTAACCACACGCGATCTAGCTGCACACGGTCTGCCGTTATCCCTACACCAATATCTACCGCGGGCAATCGACGTAATTTTGAGTATGACTGGGCTTACTGTTTTGGACTGCTAGGCTGTGGCTGTCCACTACATACGAACTCGTGTCATGAAAAAGGCAAAAACTAGGGGAAAGCCACGAATGGCGCTATGAGAGTTGTTGCATGCGAACCTACACATGTGTCCGGCTCTGCTGACCCAACCATGGTGGAATAAGTAAACGAATTCGGGGAGTCCCCAAAGACTGAGCCTTGCATGGTGAAGCTGGGCGTCAGCGCAACCCAACCACCAGGCACAATTAATCTGGCTTTTCCGGGGACGGGTCAGATTGAGCGTACCGTGCATGACACGACTCTTTGCATGTTATAAAGAGGGAGCCATCTTTCTGTTCTCCATGCCGAACTTGTCGGGTTGCAAAGATTGGTTCGCTGCCCACATGTGCGATATCCGTGGAGGGGAGTCATTCGTCCTTTATTCGATGGGGTCCAGCTGGAAGTCAGGCTTTTCATTATTGCGACCGCTCTCGGTATTTGTGATAAAGATGGCGGCAATGACCAATAACGGAGAGAAGGCAATCAGAAGCTTCACTATGTTCCATACCAACCACAAATATCCTAAAGCGTGAAATTCTTCCGCTTCCTGCATCTTCTCTCTCCACGGTCAAGGTGAACACTCCAACTCCAGAGAGCTGCCCCTCGCTAGGTGGGATGCGAATAGCGCAACAGAAACACACGGAACTGCCGCCTTCTGTGCCACTGTAGCTCTTACACAAAAAAAGAGCTTGCTTTCCTCCTTGAGCGCCGCCGACAAGACGTCCACAGAGGCTCCGGAAAATTTCCGAGTCTCAAGCGCCAACTGAACGTTTTTCGTGGCAAGCTCTAGCAGAGCAACATTTAAGATTGAAGCTGATATGGGACAGATAGTTGGAAGAATAAGACATCAAAGCAGGGAGTCGACGCAGCTTCTGTCTTCTCCCGGGGCTCCGCAGTGGGTGCCCTCCCCAGTCTTGCTGGCCTGTCCCTGCGGAAAGCAGCAAATGCCTTATGTAATCATACACAGCTCTGCCAACACGTGCTTTTGGGATGGCCAACTACATTCTAACTTCCCGAAGGGACGTAGCTTCACCCCTGTGCATCCTAACACTGCCCATTCCCAAGCAGGGGCGTCCTTCCCCAGCCATAACCATTCTGTCGAGTACATATTATTCTAATTTGACTTCCTTCTAGAAAATCTGGCATTGGCCCGCATGTGCTACCTCAGCCAAGGCCACCAACTTTGTTCGGCTGCGTCTAGAGCTTAGCACTCTATCCACGCGACGTACTCCTGATGAGTAGCGGGCAAAGCTACTCTGAGGTACTTTCTACTGCACTGGTGGTGAATGATCGGGAATCAATAGAGAATTTGGTAACTGGTTTATCTGTCGTAAATCATATTTATTGAAGATTACCGTTAGCTCCGTCCAAGGCGACGCCATGTGGAGTGCTTGTGCGCTAGTTGCTTTCGTTGCATGTAAGGTCTCCGTAGGGAGACACACAACTCCAGACTCAATACAAACTCAAGAGACAGCCACTGAGTATTTTTGAAAAGAGATCCTTCTTTCCCGTGCCCGGTTCCCTCATAGTTATTGGCGTAGGGGTCTTCCGACAGCTGGTGGGCACATAACTGCAGCTTTTGTGTACTCACAGCTAGTTACAGAGAGCATCTGGCGAGCACACACACACGCAACTTCGAATCTTCTTGTGTCGAGCTAATATCACTCTAAAATAATAAATAGATACGAAGAGACAGACCAACTGGTCAATTCTTCATCTATGCTTTGTTAAATACAACTAGTGTGGCAAACCGTCTCCAACGGTAGCTTGGCGCAGCACTTCTCTTCCCTTTAATTCTCAAACACGCCCCAACGTGTTCCGCATCGGTGCGTCGAGACCAACTATGTTCACGACAGCTGAAGGTTCCTGCTCTTTTGACACTCAAGCGGTTGTTGCACGCATTTGGCTTTTTCATATGCACTTTCTCGCTTCCTGCCTGTTTTGAATAAAGCTAGAATGGTACGAAGAGACGCATGCTGGCTGAAACGATAAGAAACCAAAACAGCATGACCGTGGTAGCGCGATTGATTCTGTTGTCACACCACTGAAATGTGGGAGCCTCCTGCTACTAAAAACACAAAGCGTTAGAAGAAGAAAGCGAATCAACGTACACGGTACTCTAGCACAGTTTGAACCGCATAGAGCAGTCTCTTTAAGGTTTGCTTATAACTGCAAGCTTCAAAGAAGAGAGAAGGAAGAACACAAGAGCAGCATACCGCAAAAGTCTGAGTGTAGAGCATGCGTAAACGATAATACCCGGCAGTTTTTTCAGCGATACGCATGGATGAAGGTAGTTTTTCAAGGCCAACCATGCGCTGTAAAGGGGCACTAACCAAGGGATGTGCGAGGACTCCTGTGCATGTAGACTAGCATTGTTAATCAAACTAGAGGGCAATGTCTCACGCCGCCAGTGAAGCCTGCAAATGGTCCTCCACAAGCCACTTTGTCTGGCATTCACTAGCACCCTTCACTAGAAACTCCCATATACTGTGCACTTGGCGATCAAAAGTCGTAGAATCCAGCACTTCTATGGCTCCCCATGGATCCTGCGCTTTCACAGGAGCCCTCTGTGTGTGGTCGATTCCCCGAATAATTCGTAGAGTTTTGAATGATCTTTCGGGAATCGTTACCGAAACGTCTGTGATATGTCCAGCAGGACGGCCAGCAGGTGGCCAGCGTGCTGGCAGCTCGTCATGCTTATCTCATCCGCGAACCCCTTTGGGGTATTTGCCCATTCCTGTTGTTCTTCTGCTTGAAATTGAATCGCATTCTTTAAAACGCCCTAGTTGAGGCAGTAAAAGGGTATGCGTGCTCAGAATTGTCTTGTTTTACTGCACTGCTAAAAGGCCCGGATAAAGTTTTTGCCTCACCTTGGAAGGGTACTAATTCTACTACCGTCACCCTAGATGAAACAAGCTTTATTAAGGATACCAGGATATCACTCTTTTTGGTAGCTCTTTCTTTGGATACATAGCGTGGAGCTGTGGTGGCGTGTTCACTTTCCTTTGAGTCACCCATGGGGTACTTAAAATTGCGTCAACGTGCACTAGTCCAACATAGAGGCCAGAGATCATGCTGAGAAGACTCCTTTTTGATTCAAAGTAATAGTTATATATCGTGGCCTTGTGAGTTATTACGTTCTGCTGCTCATCCTCAAGCTTGAAGCTTGACTAGCTAGCGAGTGAACAGGCAAAAAGCACTCCTGCACCTTCCCTTAACAGAGCCACTGAGGTTCAGCGTCAGGATATGCTATCAGTTCTTGATCATTACCGCAAACGTGCAAAAGCTCAGGATTGATCTGTGGTGGGTTCCTAAGTGTGGCCTTATTTTCTGCAGCCCCCTTCATTGCGCTTCAGTCTGCGTGATGTCCTTTTCTGTTCCCCTGCTGCGCCTTGTTTGCTCGCCGAGCAGCTTGCTTCCTCTGGGCCCAGCTGAGTTCTTCGAATCATGTAACTTTGTGTGCATTCATTTGTGCTCCGAATATCTGACTCAGCTTCCCACATGAATAGCAGATGCAGTATTGGGGGGCTATAGGGTGCTCCTCACAGCTGGAGGCCGGGGCTAGTTATCACATTTCAGACTTCCATGGGCTCGAAATCCTGAATGGTGTCCTGATTCCCAGCTTAAGATATGGGAGTAACATTATGTGAAAGTAATTGGGAAGTAGTCAATGATTCATGGGAGGCTTACTCACTGTCCTAACACCCACAGTCAGTGGTCTTTGGGCGACACGAAGTCCCCTCGAATGGTTAGGAAGTATACTCTCAAGGGGTGACGAGTCCAGTTTCCAACGAAGGTCAGGGCAGCCACACAAACTCCAATCCTCGAACTCCCTTACCTGTTTCCAGCTATTTTGGAATATGTTGACTTTGTCCCCTGATGTACTCGGCGCGCTGAAATACTGATCGCCAGCTTCTCTTACCCGTATCTCCCTGAGCGTGTGATGCAATCTCTCTGGAGCCCCTATGGGACTACTTTAGAATCTGGCAAACTACTGTGGAGCTCAGCTTGCTGCTTGCTTGCGTCCATAGTATGAACGAGAAAAAGCCGGTAAAGTCCTGGTTTGCCGAAAGCACTCCAAATACTTCAAAAAGTAAAATCAAAGAGGTTCACAGGCATCCTTGAGTCCCACAGGTGACCCAACCCTTTATCAAAATGCAAGTCGTCCAGTAAGTCTCGGCCCAGAAAGGCTCAGGAATCCAGCCGATCCAAAACTGCTTCTAGCAAATACTAGTGTCTTGGGTGGCGTGTGCTGAAGAATGTTCATAGCCATATTCCATAGAAAGACTCGCAGCTTGGTATCTAAGCATTTAGATTGACAGCACACTCACTGTTAACAGAGCGTAGTCGGCATCTTATATGTCTACATTAATTCTGCTTATTTTTCTAATTTGTTTTGGTGCTGGTGCCCACTCTCCCGGTGCCCCACCGATGCCCTCTTCTGCAGTAGTAAAGAGAAGCAAGAGTATACAAAAACGAAGCAGCAGGCTTGGCGAAGCATTCACTATAGCTATGGCTTTAGCGATATGTTATGCAGTTTATCAAGCCTGAAAATGCAGCAGATATCTGTAGGTAGGGTAGGTTACCTGCATGCTGAAACGATATAAAGCAAAGGTAGATTAAGACGCCGAACTATCCTTTCCATACAGCAAGTTCATAGGCTTGTGATGGATCTGATTCTGATCCAGCATAGTGGACTCATCTTAGCTAGACCCCTTTTAACCCCGAAGTCGCTGTACAAATCGCATACCATAGGTGCTTCTACTTTAGCCAGTGAGTGCCCTGAAGCATTAGAAACCAATACTGAATACGAAACAGTCTTCAATGTATCTAGACAACGCCATAGTACAGGTAGATTCTATTTATACATCAGTGACGACTCACTTAGGGATCTAGGCCGATACGGTCAAATCCCTCGAGCAATGATTTTAATGGCAGTTTAGGGGTAATACGCACTAACTGAGAAGTCACTGAAAGCATATGCTCTTCCGAGTCCTTGCGGTCAGAACCGTACTCGACTTCGCTCATTCCACGCTAATGGTGCGAATTCCCTTGCTCTTAGCAAGCAATGCATAATTCTTCTGCACTGCCACGAGCCACCATCCAAAAATTCATAGACATAACAAGTCATTGTCGACTCTAATTTACTGCTTCTTGTTACCAAAGGTGCTCTGCGGTCACGGGAAACTTTAGTCGGCTCCGACGTTGCGATTATCGTCGCGGCGCATCCTGAAGGTTCTACATACTGATGGTTCAGTTAAAATTTTTTTTCGCTAAACTTAACGGGCCATCCTCAGTTATGTCATGACGCAGGTTTGTGCTCTATTTTCTCTCCGTGCTGTTCGGGGCCACTAAGACTCCGTCATGCCATCGCCCCGCTCAGAGGGCAACAAGAATGTCGAAACATCTACAACCTCAGCCCAGTCAAGTACTTTATTCTGATAGTAGCCAGCGTTACAGCAGGTGCCCTCTCGATAGTGGAAAAACGCTCCTCCAGATGTTGACCCCTGTACACTCGATGTTCACGGAGACAACGCGTACCATCTGCAGAAGTAGTGCAAGGCTCCTCGTGTGGCCTTCTCAGTAACCACAGCGAGAGGAAGGCAACACTCTCTTGCCCATCATAGCCAAAGCGAAGGTGCACATAGGGTCTGGCGGTAAAAGGCACCAGTGATAAGCTGTCCTTATGCTCAGCAAAAGAGCATGAGCATTGCAGATCCAGGCATTCGTCAATAAAACCGCCCTGGAGGGGATCCTGGGGCTTCTGTATCTTTTAGGGCGAATGCACTCACTTTAGCCTGCATGGTGAAACGTACCACCCCAGCCCAGGGGGGTCACCGCTGCATCAGCCTGCATTGTGTTAATGGACTACTTAACCTAGTAGAAGAAAAATATGCTGGTGTACATTTGGACACTTTTCAAACCTCGAAGTCAAGCAACGCGCTCTAAGCGGAGAAATAACTTATAGCTTCTCCAGTTAGTAATGGTATAGCGACAGCATCGAGTCATGGAGTAGACAGTACCGTGTAACAAGCTTCTCCTCCTGCTCCAATTTGGAAACACTTCGCCTAGGCATCAAGCCAAGGCTCCAAGAACCGTTTTGAACAATGACTCCTAAAGGCACTGCGCCATATTTTTAGCGGGATACGAGCGTGCTGCACGAAAGTTAAGGAGGGGTTGGAAGTGCAGCCAGTTGCACCCTAAAAGCAAGTGCAGACTGTTGTACGCACTTTTGCCCAGCAGATAACGTAGATATAATTCATGTCCTTGGAACAGTGCTTTGCATCTACCATGAAACTTTGACGCTATACGCTCTATGTGGACTTCTGATATCAGAATGAGGGACACCGCATGCTTGCCTCGACCTGTAACTCTAAAATGACAATGATCACTTCGTATAAACGCTAGAAAATGACCACCTTTTTTCTCTAGAGGGGGTTACAGCTTAATGCAGCACAGGCCTGATCGCACTCTGAGAAGTTTGAAGGAGAAAGCGGGAAAAATGTTTCTATCTGCGTTTAGCAGATGTAAATAGAGAAAAACCGCAAAAGTATACTTTAGAGCCCAAGCCTGCACCCTCTGATCTTACACAGCTGTCTACGCAGTACATAATGAGACAACATCAATGCCGTATGTAAGTGACCTACAGCTTTGCGACCAGAGATCGAACTGTGTTCTCCTCTGTGTTCGCCACTCACACTAGCTTCCCGATGAATAGCCTAGGCTATTATAGCCTTACAAACAACAACTATAATAGTTGCTCTGTTACCAGAAGACAGTGTGCATCAAGTCCTATACACCCTCATGAAAATGACCTTTCGGAATGGGCCTGTGGTATAGGGTAATACGGGTTTGCATATTATTAGTGTAAGTGTGCAAGCGTGCAAGTGTGCGAGTAGTGCGTCAGAGCGCATTTTTGAGTGTATTTATCTTGAACAGCCGAACACGAGCCCGTTGCCCAAACTTGACGCCCCTCCTCATTCAGGACTCATGGCAACAAAAGTTCAAATTGTTGCCGAAAAATGGCGGTTCTTTAGTTTTACTGCACCCCATAGAACAAGAGGGGGTCGGAGGGAACAACCTTAGACCGTTCGGTGGGCGGTCGTTGCTTTGCATGATTCGCATTTTCCCAAGCGAACAGAGCCAGGCGAAGATTCGAAGGGATGACTCTTTCGGTGGGACCGCCAAGGAGGCTTATGGGGGTCCGTTCTAAGGAGCTGGCCATGGCCGCGGCCTCGCAAGCCTCTGCGCGCATCCATCGCTTCGCCTCATGACATATCTGTTCCCAGCTTCCTGGTTCGTTCGCGGGAAAGGTGGGTGTACATTTGCTAAATGACTCTCCTCCAGTCGCCGCGCTGCGAGAGGGCCGGAATTCCCGCAGGCCAGCCAACCATGAGTTGGAAATGGCAGCGCAGCCAGAAGCAGCAGCAGCTTCCCCAAAGTCAGAAAATTCTATGCGAACTATCAAACGCCGTCCTCCTCTGCACTCATTTCCCGTCGCAAGAAATGTGTCAACGCCCTTTCCTCCCTTCTCATAAGTGTGCCTTAAGCACACAGGAAAAAAAGTCCGCGCCCACGGCAGTTGCACCAGAACTTGTTGCACTCCCCAAGCCCTAGCCATTTGACTGAGCTGTTCGTCGGTCTCGACAACAGCGGCGAGAGAAGCGACTAGACGGCCGAAAGCCGCATGCAAAACATCCATCTCGACTGCCTCACGAGTGAGCTCCAATACTTCCTGTGAAGGCAGAATACAGAGACATATGCAACATACTCGTAGAGCAGCCTAACATACAGACGGGCAGACCCCTAGCCCTACAAGGAAGGAGTGATGATTTCGAGCTAGTTGGCTTTGCGAGTACCTGTAAGAAACTCAGGCTAACGATGAAATATACAGGCGGAGGATCTCCGTGAAGGCCAATCGTCCGCTGGAAGGTAGCTACACACTCCAACCCCACATGGGCACCCCCAGCCTTTAGGGCCTCAAATAGGAAAAGCCGAACACCTTCGCATAGAGACTCGTGCAACAGCCAAACAGCTGAGGTGCCCCTCGAGTCTCTCCATGGCGCACAAATAGGCTCTTCTAAAGGAACCCGCTGCTGCCGCTGGGGGTGCTGCTGTTGCTGCTGTTGTCGTTGTTGCTGCTGCTGTCCTTGCAGCTGCGGTCCTTGCTGCTGCTGTCTTTGCTGCTGCTGGTTCGACACCTTGCACGGCTGTTGTTCCTGCTGATGTGCTTCATGCAACACAGCCGAAGCTGGAATAGGCATACACGGAGCCCCCTCAACGCCACAAGCGTGCTCTCCGACTTCGTTTTTATCTGCTTTTGAGCGCTCGGAAGAAGACTGCGCGCTTCCTCCTGCTGTGCTGCTGCTACCCGACAACGCAGGCTCACGTGAAACAGGTTGAGTTTGTTCCCCTCTCTGCGGCACCTTCCACGCCTGTTGCTGCTCCTGCTTCACCTGTAACTGTGGCGACTTCTTTTGCGTGAGGCCGTGTTGCGTTGGCTGTGGCTGCTGTTTTGTCTGCGCGTCTGCCCGCTGCTTCTTCCGCAGTGCACACCACCCTTTGGGGGCCTTCTGTTTGGTTGCCTGGAGCAGCAGCAACACATTCAGTACAGTACTTACACGGAGGACTATTGGACAAGCCAAACGTCAATGGATGTCAACTCTGCCAAAAAGGCGACCCAGAAGAAAGGAGGGTCAGGCAGCAAAACGTTAGCCCTATCTATTCGATGCCACTGAAGCCTCTCCCTGCTTCCGGCATAAACACGATCTTCCAGTTTTAGAGAGGCCAGACTGGCTAAGTGTACCCCCTTTAGGAATCTTTCTTACCTGCACTTGCGTAGCTCCAGATGCGCAGCAGTCGCCATCTCCTTCGGGCGACCCCACGGAGCCATTGGATCCCCTTTCGGCAGCGCAGGGACCTAAGGCGGATCTCACCAGCGCAGTTTTTGGAGGCACTCCTGTATCTGCACTCGGGATGCTTGAAGTCCTTCCTACGCCATTCCGGCAGCCAACATTATCGGCAGGGTTGCCGCGGCGGGGCAGAATGTACGTCAAAGCATGCACTTTCCTCCTCGCAAACGTTTCCTGAAGCAGCCTAAAGACCAGTGCATTGGTGGTGAGGCTGTTGGTGTTGGCGTCCGCGCTATACCGGCAAGGCGTGTTGCAGCGAGGGAGATGCAGCGAAGCTGCGTTCATCTTGCAGTGCAGAGACAACAGGTCAAGGCAGCGCATCATATCTCGAACGCGGACGAAGAATCCGCCGCCTCCCTTCCGGTTCCTGTTTTCCTCATTGATGCAGACTGCCAGCGCAACAAAGAGGCCCTCTCTAATCTTGACCAAGTGCACGTCCCCGCCCCGTACGTCGCGGCACTTGTGTGCCTGCAGCAGCAACATGCATGCAGATCTGTTTAGTCTAGCAGGGCACGCAGACAGACCAACCACCCCGTAAGAAGGGGGCTGGCAAGACGCGCAGCGGCAACACCGCAGAGCCACGAATGGCGATCAGCAGCAAGGGGGACCGCTCCGGCAGCGTGTGTCACTTAGCGGGTAGAATAGCAGCTGCAAGAAGATCTCGAAAAGCACCGAAGCACCGCATGCATGCAGCAGCCGTCGTACAGCAAATGAAACAGGTGTAGCTACGGCTACAGCCGTACGGAAGCAGGGACAGGGAACGGACTTGTGTGAAGACTTTTCGAGGCTCTGAGCTAAGACGGTCTATGGCGGCAAAGAACCCTCTGGAGAGCCATCTACCGCCCGTTTCCACGAAGAGACAGATTACTTGGGGCCCCGGGGGGGCCCCTAGAACGGATTGGGGGCATGTCGCATCACCAATGCGCTGGTGGCAATAGCTGCTGCTGCCCTTCGGCCTTGAGTTTTTCGTCGGTAGCGCATCCGAGCTGTCCTCTTTGTCACACAGCGAAGGGAATACGAAGAACGTCTCAGCAGGAATCTGTCTCCGTGGTTCTGTTGGCGTCTTTCCTTCTGGAGAGCCCGACGCCGTTGCCTCGGCAGCACCAGATGCATCAAGGCCCCAAATGTAACGAGGATCTGTCTCTCCGGAGAAGCGCAAAGCATGCGACATGTAGCCTTGAGATTCCCACAGTCTTTCCAAACGGAAAACGCGCTGGTGCTGCAGCCAGGACACCACACTGCGAAAGCAGGCAGGTGTGGCCGCCCCAGAGCCCTCCTCCCCCCAAGAGGTGCGAGGCGATAAGACAGGCATAGCAGGAACCTTGAATCCAACTAGTGGAGGCAAAACCGAATGCATACCTGTAGACGCAGGCGTCGCGCTTCTGGAGTTTCCTCCGGCAGCCGGGGGTTCCCCTACACACAGCCGAAGAGACCGCAGACAGAGGGGACGCGAACGTGAAGAGCCTAGAAGTATCAGGCTTATAGGTGTTGGTTAAAATTGATTTGAGGCGGTACGCACTCTTGGAGCCGACAAACACACTGGTAAGTGTAAGGCGGGGCCAGCTAGCTGGAGGATTAGCAGCTGCGCTCGCCACTGCCGAAGTCGCGTCTGCCCTGGCCTTGCTTGCTCGAAATGGGGAACTAGCATGAGGGTGGAAGGACGGGCAAGCGCAGCAGCAGCAGCAGCAGTAGTAGTATCAGCAGCGGCAGCACAATCCAAGACAGCAAGAGCCGGAAGCCTCTAAAACCTGCCTCCTGTGTAAGTCCGCGTCGTCCTTTTGAAAACGTATCGGGAGGAGCACGTGCATTAGCCATGGCGAGCGATTCCAGCGCTGTTACATCATCTTCCTGTCGACGATCGGCTCTCACGAAGGGCGTGAAGTCCTTTTGTTCAAAAACGTAGATGTTGTCTCCTGCTGGTGGTGACTTCGCTCTGTCGTCTTGTGACTGCACCTCTACTACGTGAGCGGCTGGGGCACTTGCTGGTGGAGAAGACAGAAGAGGAGGCGAAGCACCTGGGGAAGAGCTGCTTACAGTGGCAGCTGGCAAAACTCCGGCAGAAGGGGCAGCACCAGCAGCAGCCGTCGAGAGTGCATCTGTCAGTATCGCCTCAATCGGAAAGGATTCCAAAACGTTTGCTTTATCCGCACCGTATTTGCCGTCCGATCTGCATGTGCTGTTGCTGGTGTTGGTGCTGGTGTTGGTGCTGTTGTTGGTGCTGCTGTTGGTGCTGTTGCTGCTGTCAGCGCTGCTCGTAGCGGTGGTATTTGTTTCGGTGTCTGCAGCTATGAGAGCAGCTGCACCAAACCGCAACGACTTGGCCAGTTGGCTGTGCTGCTTCTGAGGCGCGTCATGTTCAAGGTTCCCGTTGTCTGCCGCATTGCTGGTAAGAAGTGCTCCGCAGTCGAAAGCTTGTAGCGACCGAAGGGGATCCGCAGCTGCTGTCGCGCTCGCCTCCTTTGCACCAGCAGTGCCACGAGGCGTGGCAGCAGCCTCTGCTGCCCCCAGAACTACGCTGGAAAGGTGCAGCTTCGCGTTTCCTCTCCGATAGAGGACTTCCTCAACTGCAAAGCAAGGCGGAGGCAGCTGGCCAGCACGGGGGATTTCGTCGCCTCATGTGTGCTTAGAGCAGGCGGAAGCGGGGGAGGGTTGGGGGTGGGGGGAGAAGGGAAATACAACAACTTCGTACAGCGCAGGAAGCAACAGCAGCAGCCTCGCAAGAGAGCGCACCTGTATGCTTCGATATCAAGCGGATAGCTACAACTGGCCGCGTTTGCCCCTGCCGATGAAGCCGTGCGATGGCTTGCCGCTCTACTTGGGGGTTGCCGCCTCCTCCGCCTTCCAGAAACACGCAGCACCGGCAGCAGCAGCTGCTGCTGCTAGAGACGAGATTAAGGCCATAGCCTCCGGCAAGAACCGACATCAGCAGCACCATGGGAGTCCACTCAGTGCCTTCGTCGTCATCCGATTTTTGCGTCTGAAGAAACGGCATGACGCAGGGGATGCACACAATCGCTCTTTGAGGACTTATTCAAAGCAGCTGCAGTGCAAGGGGTGGCGTTGCCGCAGTAGGTGCAACTATCGTGGCTCGTGTAGAGGGCCTAACTAAGCTCTGCAGTCTCGCCTTAAACGCTGCACTCTGTCCATAGTGCGTCGTTCTACGGAGGCAAAACACCTACACTTGCGCACGGGTATGCGTTTTTTCTCTACAACGCAGTGCAGTCGTGTAGCTGACCGTTGGTGGTGGCTTTAGAAAGGCCTCGATCGCCGCTCTTCTGCCTGCGTCTGGTGTATCCCCGTCGAGTCTGGCGGGGCGAATGCCGGACTCCAGAAGAAGATCCTCTGTGATATCCAGCATTTTGGTGGAGTGACTATAGATGACCAGCTTTTCGCCTCGAGAAATGCATAGGGAGACGATGCGATGCAATGCCTGTAGCTTGTTAGATGCGGACAAGAGCAGTTCTTCGTAGCAGAAATCCTCTTCTTCATCGTCGGTGGAAAATTCGCTAGGGCTTTTAGGAGCAGTTGCATTACGCGGTCCGGAAGCTGCTGCGCTTGATGCCTGCATGAAGGGCAGCGTGTCGCTTTGTTTTCTTGCAAAGAGGAGAGGGTGATTGGAGGCCTTTCGCAGCTGCATATAGAGGTTGTTCAAGTCTGCGAAGGGCAAGCAGAAACGAGAGGGAGGGAAGCAGCTAAGACGGGCAAGCGAAGAAGAAGCCACATTTACAGCGCCGAGGCTGGTGGGGAAGCAGCAGACGCGGACGGCCGTACGGGTGCGTCTCTCAATTACGACAGCAGAGAACGGGGGAAAGCGGCTTCGAAGCGAGCACAAAGAGGCGAGGATACACAAAATGAGAGCGGCAGCATGGCAGCCGTAGCCGGTGCGATGGAGCAGTGATTCGTTTCCATCTTTTTTCAAGGGGCAGGACGGGGATGCCTTCTAGGGAGGTGTTGAGATTCAGCATAGAAGCGACAGACGGGTGCGAAGCCGCTTTGCGAGAGAGCTTCGATGCACAATTTTTTGGGGGCAGGGGACTTGGAAGAAGAGCAGGGCGTCAGCGGACTGTGCATCAAAGGTTTTGCAAAGGGACTTTGCTTAGGATCTGTGGTGCTCCAGCCTACTTCGGATTCCTTTGATGATGTCTGAAGCGCCACAATCTGAATCCTAAGTGGCCACAGAGAGCAAATCGCACCAGAAGGCAGCAACAGAGGGGCCATGCAATGGGTTACTTCATCAGACATCCCCAGATTCCACGCAGACACGGCGGTGCATATCGAATGAGGCGCACTTGCTTGCAGTGGAAGCATCACCGAAGAACTATCGGCAGGCAGAGAGCAAGCTTCGAAAACAGCGCACAATGCTTTTTGGAACGAGGGCAGTTTTTCAAGCAAGGAGGCGGATGCGTGCCCGTGTGGACAGATGTACGCCAAGGATCACGTTGCAAGGCCTTTCCCCCGGAAAAGCGTGAGCGTTGAGGGACGCGGCAATGTCAAGCTACCGCACTATATTCATCTGCCCTGTGCTCTCCTGCATGCAGCTTCCGCTTCAGTGTGTATTGCCTTACACGCGACGACGACAAAAGCAATTGCGCATCCCGCGTAAGGAGCCAGAGATACAGGCGTCGCTGGACTGGCGTCAAGGGCAGCATGAGGATTACTTCACGGAGAGGCGGAAGCTGCCAGCAGTGTTGTGCCTGCAGGGAGGTAGCAGCGCAACAGGCCGCCAGCAAATTGCCGTCTCCCCTGTAGATTAGACTGCACGCTTGCGAGGGCTGCCCGCGTAAGGAAGAAGTCAGAAGGATGCACAAGAGGGTGCAGGCAGAGCCAGAAGGCGCACGGTGATGTGCGAAGCACAGTGGAAATAGAAAGCAGGCAAGAGCGAGAAGAAGGGCAAAAGGCATTGCAGTGGGGGCCCCACGACGCGCACTTGCGCGATAGAGATATCTTAAGGGGGAGGAATCGACGAGAGAGTCTGAGGCGCTGAGATCTCGATACGTCGAGCGAGAAATTGTCCATGAAGACGCCACAAAGGCCTCCTCAGGTCTCGTGAACAGAGAGAGATAAATACAGCATGGCGTTATGAAACGGCACGTGCGAATTGGCATCTACCTGCATGACTGTGCGTCGCAACACGAAAGCGGAGACAACGCGCTCCAGCAGCTGGCAGTTCCTGTTCGGCGAAGACGCCAAGGAGGCCTTGGAACCGGGGAGGCGGTTCTCACACTCTGCGTAGAAGAGGGACGTGAAAGCCTCTGCAGAGGAGAAGATGGAGGGGTGGAGGAAGGATAGCAGGGAGAAGAGCTCCTGAAAGCATGGGAAGGCAGCGGGGGGGGCAGCAGATCACGCAAGTTGAAGGAGCCGGCCGTTCAGCAGCGTACGCAGCAACAACAGGCGCAGAACCCCCAGAGAGAGAGCGGCGGTGGAAGCAGCATTCGCACGAGTGGCAGCGTCTACAACAATGCACGAATTGCCGCAAGGGCTGAGCTGCTGCTGTACAGCAGCCCTTGCCACGACACAGGAGCCAGAGCAGCAGCAGAAAAAGAGACACCATCAAAACGTGTGTCGGCGGGTTGCTCCTCCTGCTCCGCCTACTAGAAGGGAGTTTTCTATGGGAGTTCCGGTGAGCAGCAACGTCCTCTGTCGCTTTATGCCTTCGGCTAGGAGGCGTCGCTTGACGCCGTGGGGCCCCTTGAGGCGCGAGGCCTCGTCCGCAATAAGCAGGGAGAAGCAGAAGGAAGAGACAAAGCTCATTTCACGCGCTGCTAGCTCATAACTTGTGAGCAGTATATCGAAAGGCGCCGCAGTAGGAGCTGCCACCTCCTGACACAGCACAAAACCCACAAAATAAAAGCACCTGCACATGCGCAGCAGTGTTTAGCTGCTGCAGGAGGGCAGTCAGGGCAAAGTGCGCCTCGAATGATGCAGCAGTGGGGAGGCGGGGGGAGAAAGAGGAGACGGAAAAGGGCCATCATATGCAACAAGAGAGCAGACGAGAGAGGGTTCAGCAGCGGTCCGTGAAAAATCTCTCAGCCGGCAGATGCCGCAGCGTACATGCTGCTGCTGCTGCACCCGCCGTTGCATTGCCAACACCTTCTGCTTAATGTCTGCCCGTGTGGGGCTGTCGCCAACGAAGACTAGCAACCGAAGAGGCTTCTCTGCAGTGCTTTCCGCGAATGCTGACATTCCTGGAGGGGCTGATGCTGCGTTTAAGTGGCAACCTGCCGCTGTCTGCTGCTGCTGCTGCTGCTCCGGCAGCTGCTGGAAGTTGACAGCCCCCAAGAAGTGTGTGCAGTGCTGTACCCATGAGCTAATGACGCTCAGTGGACAAACAACGATGGCAGGCTTCCCAGCGAAGGCGGAGCCCCCAAACCGACAGAGATGCAGATACACCGCAAGCGCCTGCAGTGTCTTCCCCAGTCCTGCACGGAGCGACAAAGCCAAGAGCAGCTCCTCTCGTTGAAAAAAGCGACACGACATCAACACCATGGCGGGAAGCATGCGTGTTTTCGGAGCGTGTGTCTAAGGTAAACCAGGAACTCTAGCAGCAAAAAGAGAGACTTCATCTATCGGTCGGCATAAAAAGAGAGTAATTCTGTGTGTCTCAGTCTTAAGAGGGAAAGTCCTCCTGCCTGTCGGCATAGACAGCAGCTGGAGCAACCGGGTCCTACCCATATCATCTGCGACGATGCAATTGAGGTGCGCAGCGAAACGCTGCAGAATCCAGGCAACCCCTTCTGTCTGGTAGTCGTGCAGCACGCAGTGGCTTACTTGTTCCTCATGGGCCCCCTGCTGCTGAAGTTTTACTGGCTTGGTTTGTAGCTCTTGAATCTTTTCTAGCTCCGAGCGCACTTTCACATAAAAAGGCGATTGTACCGACTTCCTGCGCGCATCCACCGCCGGTGCGTCATTCGCTGTCGCCGCTGATACAGCGCAGTTCGCTGCTACCTCAAGGGCCTCCTCCACCTTGTCCACTACGTCCATCAAGGGCTCTTCATTTTCGGAGTCATTGCTGAAGTCCCCATCTACAGCACACGCTGCAAACCATGGATCGCGTTCCTTCAGTAAGGCTGCCTTTGCTGCAGCCGAATACGCCTTGGAGGGCTGCCACAGCCGCTTAGAGCCGGAGGCGTCACCCTCCTCGTCACTGCTCCCTGAAGATGCTTGCTCTGAGCTCTCTGTCTCTTCTTCGGAGTCGCTGGTGTCCGCGGATTCCTCAGAAGTCTCATCAGACACCTTGGCTTCGGACTCTGTGGCTTCCGGGCTCTCCCTGTTGCGTTTATTCCTCGCACCTCCTACTCGCAGTTTCCCCCTCGCAAGAGCAGCTCCCACAGGGAGCCTCCTAACTCCGCGTGAGGCACCTGCCCTCCGAGGCCTCCATTGAGGGCCAGGAATTACCGTAGCCGCTGACTCACCACTGTGGGAGGGACACACATCCGAATCAGGGGGGCTTGCGCGCCTCTGCTGCTGCTCGACACAAGACTCGGGAGTATCGGCGGAAGGCGGTATGTCCGGGCGGCCCGGGGGCCCCTCTCCACCGTAGATTTCATAAAACATTCACAGAATTGGTAAGTTCTGGGAGAAAACATGAATTTAGAATATGTCTTCTGTGGTTTCCTCTTCTACAACGAGCACAGCAAATACCGATGAACACAGTCACGGGTGAGCTCAAGGTACCCTCTTTCCGGTGCCGCTTTTCGCGGGGGCTCTGCGGTCTTGAGGAAGAAATAATTGTATACCTGAAATACAACAAATTCTGAAACCAGAAGTCAGCAAGAACAGTGCAAGAAGGGAGTGGCCGGATCTGTTTACCATCAGCACCGGGGGCCCTCCATCTCGTCGCCTCGAAGAGGATTTGCACTTGCAATGCAAGGAGAGCCTCTGGAGGTCCATGGTGGTAAAAGCACTACTTACTGTGTATATGCATGCTCTTGGGGGGGGAGCAAGACCACAGGTATGAGCAAAAGATTGAAATCGGGTTTTTGGTGTGGGTGGGAGGGGTTACTTGCTGGCCGCTACAAACTGAGTAGTTCATCGATTCAGGAGCCACTGTGGAGAGGCCGGAAGGGAAGGGGAAGACAGTGGCTAAGAGGCTCAGGGTGGAGACTTACGACAAATTATGAGCATAGGAGAGGGTTTTAGGTTCGAGAGCGAAGAGGACGAAGGCAGGGCCTAGGAGGGCCACCCTTACAAACATAGCAAAGGACGAGCATGGTATCGATTCTAGATCTGGAGAGGAAGAAAATGAGCTGCTAGCAAAGGACAGCTCATTACCAAGGGCGCAATGTATGCCACAGCCTCACCGCCATACTGGTGTATTCGAAGGCGCTTTAAGAAACATTGACACCGAAGGAGGCTACCCCTAAGCAGGCTGATAAAGCAGCAAATCTATGTTGCGCATCATCCAGTGTGAGCTAGGCAGTCAGTCTAACCAACGATCAAACTGCCTCTACTCGTAGCAGTGCTTCACCAAGGTCTAGAACATAAACCTCGTTTACCTGCAAACATCTATCAATAGTGAGAAATATTTATGCATCGCACCGCCTGTATAGCCAAGAGCTATGCAGCTTTCATAAAGGTGTGAATCCTTCGCCTTTTTCAACTGAGTAAAGGGAATACGCCTACCTTTAGAAACAGGACACGTGATTTGCCGTTCGTACTAGTCGGCTCGCCATAACGTGCCCTTGACATCAAAGTAAAGATATACATATCTAGCAGGCCCGGTAAAAGATGTTACTGGAGAACATTTCTGCTCAATGCAAGCCAAGAAATGCGGGAGGAGGTGCAGTGTGGGCGTTGAACTGATAAGTGGCCATATGCACTTGCTGGCAGCAGCGAACAAGTGTAAAGCCTGCATACTTCGAATTCTTGTAAGAAAGTCGCCTTTTACATAATTAGGCGTAAATTGATAAAACTGTCAGCTAGGAATCCAGCGAATGGATACTTTGTGTTCTTGAGCCGACTTTTCCATTGATCTACACATTAATCGGTACACATACCAACTTTGGCAGAAGAAGGGCAGTCAGGCGCGTGAAGGTAGTGCTGTCTGATTGCGCTCTTAAACATCAGAATGATTATATGTTAAATGTGTGTAGAATACAATGCCTGCCCTGCCATTGCGTGCTCCTCGCCAAGCCACTAGTAGGCAATTTCCGCAGTTCTGTTTCCAGGCGACGGTATTTCAAATGCAGCGCTAATCAAAAAGTTGGCGAGACCTTTTTCCAGGCCTTTGGAATGTAATCCCGCGCAAGGACAAACCTGCAGTGTACGTTTACGTCTCTCCTCGCCGAGTGAATCCCTGAGAAGCAAAAGCCAGTTCCCTCAACCCATCTTAGAGCTCAGTAGGGCGCAACACCAGCAGAAAATTCAAGGAGCGAGACCCCACAGCCGTGGAAGGAAACCGGCATGCACAGGCAAGGGTACTCCTCTAGGGAAAGAGATGGTAGGGTGGCCCCCGTACATGTGGCCAACAAGCCTCTGAATATCGAATCACGATTTACTGCGAGACACATGACCGGATGTGCACAGGAGTCATGAAGAAATTCAATACTAGTATCAGTCTGTTTCAGAATAGCCTCACCAGACGGTACAGTAGAGGGTTTTCTCTTCTCAGGCAGCAAAACTTGAATGTCTTAAAGTTTTTTGAGGCTACCAGTGACTAAATGCCCGTATACTGAGAAGAGCGCCTAATTCTTCGTTGGAGTCCGGGTATGACTAGAGTTACCACTTCTCTATGAAGCATTATTGATTCTCTGCAAGCTCTTCAGTACCCTTTTTCAAGTTCCATGTATATCTCCCTGTTTCATTCCACCTGCATATCAGGCTTGAATTAGAAATACGCGTTCCTCGGTGCTTTCGGAATGGCAGCCTATTTGCGGTAGTCTCTAGATAGGGAAAGCCAGCACAACGCCTCCTGGAAATTAGTGGATAAATCAGCCCTCATAATTCGTGGACTCTGTGTGGTGCAAGTGTAGCAGTATGTCAATTACGAAGATCTTTCGAATACGCCCCTAATGAAAAAATTGGAAGCGTGTGTCATTCGTGACTCCTTCTGCTAAGCACCTGAGAGGGGAATAGCGAGTCCGGTGAAAAGGAAAGACCCGGCGTCCCCTCGATTGACGAGGCGCTGCCGCTTGCCCCCTTCATTGTTGCATGCCTAAACAAGCGTCCACTTACAATGCCAACCCTCTCCACGAAAACACTGCAGCGGCTTGCAGACTCTGCATCTACTTGGCAGACTGATTCCTAGTAATTTGCATGGCCTGTAGGTAGCTAAAGGGGTATACATCGAGTCCACGAATAAACCCGCCAAAACTTGGCATTAGCAGGGCTCCCTGTGCTACGGTCTGCCGCTACATTGGACAAGCTTGAAGCTGTAGGAAAGCTGTGCGAAAAGCAGCAGAGACAATCGTGAGGGGGAAGGACCAAGGGCACTATTCTTCAAAGCGAGGGAAGAGCAAAGGTCATGTGCTGTTCAGCTTCGTCGGCACCCTGCTGTTTCTCCGCCTCCAGAGCCCTGCATACATACACCCCGCAGCACATTCAGCGGTTGACACCGATATCACACATAGGGGCGCAAAGGGGCCCTCCCTTCTAGAAGCAGCGTCTACACTGTTGCTAAGGCTATGCCTACACCAAAGAACAGGCATCAGCCGCGGAGTAAGGAGGGTTTTTGTTACCCAAGGAAACAATATGTTAAGCGGCAGAGTAAGACAGGCCACCATATTTTCTCCACTGTACGTTTTTATGTGACTACTGAGAAGAGGGTTGTACAAGTGAGTTTGCCCATGCATGCAAACCCCAGCTCTACACTTGAGTCATCAGCTAAGACGGGGCAGCTTCGGGAGTTAAGCGGCAGCTCACCGTCGCAGGTTCTCCTTGGAGAGGACCTCAATGGAGAAGGGTCGAGCAAGGGGCCGTGCCTTTGTGGGAAGGATTGCCAAGAGGTCGTATTCGCCAACCCTAGTGATCGCCGCTAAAGGACGGCCTTGCAGGATCTCCTCAGTTGCATGGCACTCCTTTGGCTGCTGTTGCTGAAGGGGGGAAGGCGTGATCCTACGCCTAAGGAGGCGGAGCTGCCCTGGAAGCAGGTCCAGCCCTTCTTCTTCGCTCAGTCTTTGCAAGAGCTGCTGAGGCGTGAGAGGCTCAGCAAGCTGCGTGCTGTCTGAAGGTTCTGTCTCGACGGCAAACAGGAGCCGCAGCTTGCGTACCCATGCGAGCACTGGCCCCTCATCATCAACAGGCAGGTCAACGCCCCTAATGTCTGCAGCCGCTGCAGCAGCACTGAGGATATCTAGGCGTTCCCCACCAGGCCCTTGACGCAGCCCTTCATGAGTACTGAGGGGTTCGGATGATTTTTGCTGTTTTTGCTGTTGCTGTTGCCTGCGCTGGAGCGAGAGCATTCGACTATGGACTAAATCAATGTTTTGCCAAGTCGCCGGCAGAGCCCATCCCATTCTTCCGAGATGGTGTCTGAATAGGCCCCGCCGAACGTATTTGACTTCCCCAGCACCCCCTATGCCGGGTACAGAGCGCAGCAACACTACCAACACATAGGGGTGAGGGACCCTCGGATAGAGGACTCCCCGATGAATGTGTGGATTCAGAGGAGATATGGCGAACCCCCGCTTGGCATGCAGCAAGTATGCGCCAGTGGGAAGGGCGTAGTTCCCACTGTCCCCTCGTAAGTGCGGGGAAAGAGCCCTATTAGGAGGCACTCCTAAAGGGGCTGCGCAGCTACCAGGTGTCCTATGGACAAACACGCTGGGCCCCCCCCTCTCCGGGGCCTTACGGAGAGGCACATACGGGAGTTCGCGGGAGTCTTCGACTGTGGAGAAGTCGGATGCTGCTGTGGAGGAGCCTGGAGCCTTCCCGTAAGGCTGCAGGGTACATCCCTCCGACGAGGATCGTGCAGCTGTGCAGCCGATTTTCCGGGGGGAGCGGCGCAGAGGGCAGGCCCAAGAGGCCTTCGGGATAATAGCCAGGAAGGACATATTTCTGGAGCGAGTACGTTGTATGTTGGACTCCTTTTTGTGTAAGGCGATGCCACACCGCTGCGCAGCAAAAAGGATGGCCCTGGGGGGCCCCAGGCCACAGAGGAGGGCCCCCTTCACAGAGGAGGGCCCCCTTCAGCGTTATGCAGCGCCCACGCCGATGAGTAGAGAGATTTTCGACAGAGCCGGATTCGGGCAGGAGCACTCCAGCAGGAGGAGCCCCAGCTCTCAGAATGCGAAAGGATCCACGAGAGGAGGGGAAAGAGAAAACGGAGGAGGGGCGGAAGAGAGGCTACGCGTGTCAACTTTATTGCAGCTTCCGAGGTTTCGAGCAGCGCAGACCACAAGAAGTTGGCAGTCCAAAACTAGGGACCGCGCACACCCCCCTTCTTCTGCTCCCTCCCCTCCCGGCTGGGGTCCCCTATCCCTGTGCCTCTCCAGTTCTACAGCAGCATCTTCAGAGGCTGAAGAGGAACACGAGGTAGTATACTTCCATTTTGAAGTATCTTTGGGGTTGCTGTTGCGGCTTCCGGTGGCTGGGGCCCCGGTGGGGCCTCGCGGTTTGGAGATTCGACTTCAGGGACAAAGATACAATAGTACCCTATTTTACGGTCAAGGGCTTCACACACACCTAATGCGGTGGCTCACGTATGATCGAGTTTCTTGATGCTTTTTACACCGACAACTCGCCATTTCTCCATATGCCGCAAGACAACACGTCTAGGCCCCGAGCTCTCAGTAGTCGCCGCCAAGGGCCCGCACTGTAAGGCGGAAGGAACGTCTTCGGTCAAAGCGGCGCCAATGAGGCTGCTATGAGAGGCAGAATTGAACAGCTACAGCGGAGATGGTGCCGTCATGTGCGCCGATGTTGAGCGGTCCCGTATTCTTGATCTCGATTCTCTTCTCTGCTGCGTTTGGTGAAGCGGCCCTCATCCCCTCCTCAGGCAGAGCCGTTCCTCGCCAGGCCTTTCTTCCTCCCGGCTCTGAGGCCTTCGGGTGTACGCCAACCTGCCTCAAGCACTGCACACTCAGAGGCAGAGCAGCAACAGCAGCAACCCTTGCTGCTCCTGCTGCTGCAGCTGGTCCTGACCGAGCAGCAGAAAGCGGCTGGGCTACGGGTGTACCTCTGGGAACAAGGGATGCTTTGGAGTACGTTGAGACGGGAAAAATGTGTGCAAAATGCTTGATCGACTGCAGATAAATCGAGGAGAATGGAGGCTGAGCATCGCGCAAAGGACGCACAAGTCCTTTACACATTAAGCGTTATGTATGTTTGCCACGTTTTTGTGTCGCATTTGCGGTGTACAGGGAACTGCTACGCCGCGGTTCCGACGCTCCCCTTGCAGCTGAAGAGGCCCCCGAGGGGCCCCCCTGGGGATCACGACGCTCCCTTTGCATTTTGGGTTCCACAGGCAGTGTGGGGCAGCAGGCGCTGGAGGTCGTTCGACAGTTTCCACGTTTCTTTAAAGTCAAGGCCTTGGCCGCTTCTGGTTCGCGGCTGAAACGTCTTGCAGAGCAAGCGCTTGAGTTCCGGTATGAGCATTGCTGGCCTTTGAGGACGCTGCTATTGCTGCTGCTGCTTCTGCTGCTTCTGCGCTGCTCGAGCGGCCATAAGTGCCGCTCTCGATTCTGCCATCGATGCATAAGCGGTGGCTCACTTCAAGCGTGACCTCGGCTTTGAGTGCAAGTGGCTCGTTTTGTGCTCCATCTACAGGCCGGAGTTCATAGTTGTTGAGGACGCCGAGAGGGCTGAAGCCTTAGAGGAGCTGCTGAGCGAAGCCTTCAAAGTTCATTGCACAAGCAGCGCGAAGCGTAGGCTACCCACTAGCGGATCAGAAAAGGATCATCTAGGACGCCCCACTGTGCTGCATGGTGTGGAGGCTCTGGAGAACACAGCGCGTCTACCGGGTGTGGACTGCGTTCTGCTCGCAATTTCGGGGTTCAAAGGCTTGAGGCCGGCCCTTGCAGCTTTGCGGGCTAACAAGGACGTGGCGCTTGCCACGAAAGAGGCCCTTGTTGCTGCAGGTGAGTGGCGTGCTTAAGGGACTTTTCGCTAAAGAGCCTCCGTGAAGGCCAAAGCCGCATGCCTCGACTGTGCTACATGGTGTTATAGGCCACTGCAACCTGAACAGCTGAGCTGAGAGGCAGGCAGTAAATATATATATACATATATATATCTCCCTTCCCATGATATCTGCAGGTCCAGTCTTCCGGAAGCTGTTTAGCGGGGTATCAAGGAATGCCCCCGCGGAATCTTTGGGAACAGGAGGCGATGGACTGTACGCCCGCAAAGTAAACAGAAAGGGAGAGGCACGCGGTTTGAGCCATGGAAGGGGGGGACAAGGAGATAAATGTTACGGGGGGATGGGGCGGCTACTACCAGTTGATAGTGAGCACAGTGCCATATTTCAAGCTCTTCAGGGAGTCCCGCCCTCTGCATACCCCCCCGCAAAATTGTTTCTTTGCGCTTCGGGGGGCCCCTTCCTGGGGTGGACATCAAAGGATCTCCTACATGTTAAGGTTCAGGACGCCCTCAAACATGTACGCCACAGCTACACCCTACCTACCACCAGCGCCACAAACCCTCTTCGACCCGGCACGCATGGGAAAGCACCATGGGACAGGCGTTTGGCTGGGGTAGCAGCAGCTACTGAGGCTTTGTGCAGTATTAAAAGTTGCTGCTATGACGTGCTTACGAACCCTTGAAGGAGAGAGGCGTAGTTTGGCTCGTCGCTGCTTGGTATATATGTACATATGTGTGTGTATGGGTGTGTTCTCTGCTTCGTGCTCTTCAGCCTAAGTGGACAATGGGATCGAAGATAACGGTCGACAGCGCAACGCTAATGAACAAAGGTCTAGAGGTGATAGAGGCCCACGAGGCCTTTGGAGTCCCCTATGACTCAATCCGCGTGCTTATTCATCCCCAGGCAATTCTGCACTCCGCCGTCGAAATGCAAGATGGCGCCGTCATCGGACAGCTTGGGCTTCCAGACATGAAACTGCCAATCGCCTACGCTTTCAGTTGGCCACACAGACTCCCGTTAGTCCCCACTACACAAGGACACGCACCTCCCAAAGGCCCCTTATATTCGCTCTTTTAGCCTGGAGGCACCCTACTTGCCGCAGCTGTGCAGGCTGTCAAGCGCCATTTACTGCTCTAGACCTTGCAGCATATATGATTCCACGAAAACTGCGGAAATAATAACGCCTCGCTGTTTGTTTTCATGCTTGCTATTTGTGAATGCACAGCACCAAATGGCCTCGCTTGGACTTCTTCACCTGCGGTCCTCTCACCTTCCAACCGCCGGACCTGTAAGCACCTTTTCGAGGCCGCAGCTTTGTGCTAGCTTTCCCTCCCTGCAGAACCTCTCATGCGGTGTGTGGATTTCGCGCGAGATATGGTGACAAGCGAGCATTGGGCCGAAGAGTCGAGTCAGCCTCTTGGCGGATCGGTTGCACTTGTGTCGATTATGCTGCAGGAAAACATTCGAGTGTCTGGATTTGGCGTTCGATGCGGGGCGCCGGAGTGGTCTTTATCCAGCAGCTCTCAATGCAGCGAATGAGGAAGCCGTGTCTCAGTTCCTACGGGGGCGAATCCACTTTACAGAGATTCCCACCCTTCTTAAGCATGTCATGCGTATGGCAGATGGGCAAATTTCGTCTTCACCAAACACTGACATAACCCTCGAAGTAAGTACTCAGCTCCTGCATGCTTGCCACGCCTGCAACAGAAACAGAAGAGGGGTACTGTCTAAGGCGTGTGCGATTTCTGCAACTCTTGCTTCTACTGTGTAGGAGGGCTGCTGGTAGACGTATCCAACACTTGATTTTCGAGCGCCCCACGAACCAGCATATTCTGACTGCATGGAGACCACTTGCTCCCCACTCATACAAGCGCATCGTGCGTGGATGCTTTTATCCTCTGCTTCTGGTGCATTGACACTTTGATGCTGGTGTGATGCGTCTGCAGGATGTGGAGGAGACAGACACATGGGCCCGGCAGATGGCCAAAACCTTCATCCCCAACCCCACACTCTCCCCTTAGAAATTTTCGAAGAGAACGATAGAGCAGATTTAGTATTTAACATCTGCTTGAAAGGGCTCTCTACGTGGTTCGTTGCTGCCTTAGCGGCCTGAGTTTGCTTCAACTTCAGGGACAACTTCGGGACCAGTGAACAATACACGTGGCCGACTATGTTCCGATTCCTTCGGCTAGAGGCTAGATCGGACAGCATTAATTGTGCAATGATGGAATGAAGTGTGCCATCTTATTTCCGGGGGCACAAGTACAGTGCATGTCTGCGGATTTAGCTGTCTATTTCTATGCGTAGATGTACAATGTGGGCATCTATGCATGTATCTCCTTGAGCACTTGCATTATGACGGGCTTATTTAGTAGTGTCACTTGTGTATCCTAGGGATAGCTCTTTTGGACTCTTACCTTCATTTTATCTACCTCGGGGTCTTATTGGCTTCGTTTGCTTTCGAGGGGTGCGGACCGCTCACCAGGTGCCTTTTGTTCCGAAGGTTCTGGCGGCAGCGTCCTAGACTACTCATAGTAGAGCGTACCCTGTTATCGTTTTCGCTCTATCTAGCAGTAGTAAACGAAGCCCCTGCCAGCACTACTCTACTAGGCAAAACAGGCGTTTTTCGTAATGCCGAATGCTGGTTAACCTTGGACGTTTTAACTGTACGGAACCCCCACGTTTGGGACCCACAACACTTGCGGCCCACAGCCCGTTAGCCTTTCAGCTTGGCATGCCCCGCAAGACAAACATGACAAACACCTGAAAGCAGACTCACTACATAGTGCAGCCTGTAAAAACCACTCAATCCTCTGGAGGGGTTGCACTATGCAAAGGGCCACGGTTTACTAGAATAGTGTCACTCAGCGGCCCGCAGTGTATGTTGACTACACAAGGTTCTTCACCACAAGCATACGGGCTGTAGAGCAACACATCTAACACGCGGTAGAGGGCCATTATTCTGAAGAGATGGAAAGAGCCAACAAAGAGCGAACAGGCGAACATTCCATGGCACAGACTCTGACATCTCCTTGCCCTCATTATTAGGTCTATGCGGATATGCTTCCAAGGTAAAAGTTCCCTCTTCTGGCCAACATATGTTCATGATTACCTCGATCTTGCATTTGCCCCACTTAGGGGCAAGCGGAGCTGCTGAACTCTAAAGGAAGCACGGCTAGACTACAAGCGCAAAGGGCTATCGATACATTTATATGGAGTTTATTTCGTCAAGGAGCTGCCAAACGTATGCGAACTGAGACTCTACTCTTGGGATTCTGTGTCATCTGCGGATCTCGTTTGGCATCAGATCTAATTACCAGGAGGCATGGACAGGCAGAGGAGGGCTCCCTCAAGCTTCCACTGATGTGACCGAACAAATGATGCAGCTCCCCCTAAATCTTCTATATATATCAGCATACTCGAAAATCCATCAATACACTGCGTTAGGTTAACATCTGGTTTTTCCCAGCAAGCCTTCTTGTCACCGAGCTATGTTACCTTGGCCCGTTCAGTGGCAAATTGATTGAGACTTTTGTGGACTAGCACCAATCAACAGTTTACTTGACATTTTAATATGCAGATGCCTCCATACAAATCCCGATCTACTCTGAAGACAGAGGCGGAACGGAGCTCCATCCTTACAGTCTCAAGCTTCGGTATACCCATGTTTGACGATTACGCTCCTTATTGCCCTAGTTGAAGTGCGGAGGCAAGTTATCCGTCGAGCGCATTATAGCATTCCTTCGAAGATCTTCATAAGGGGACTCTTGAACTAGGCCTGCATAAGGCTGCATACGAAGTTACTGGGCGCTCCCTTTTCGAGGAGCTGCCCCCTCCTATCCCTTGCCCCGCAAAATTCGGGTGTTATGAGAGTCAAGACATCTTTCGTGCGCATTGCTGCTACATCTAAGCACACCAAGCAGCTGCACTTCTTTAAACACATAGCAAAGTGCTCAGCCACGCGGCGTACATCCTTGTATTCTTAAACTAGTACTATCCTTCGACAAAAAAGGGCACGCAAGTCTAATGACCACCCAAACAATTCGTAACTAATTTTGAATTAAGGATGACCAGTGTGCTGGACGCATCGAAAAGTAACTTGACCGGCTACGGTCTCTAACCAACACTCACACACACAACAAACAGACGGATCGTGCAATTTAATGGTGTGGAGCTGACTTTGCTCCGGAAAAACAGATCGCAAGCGCGGACAAACCATATTGTCAATGTTTACCAGAATCTTGGGTATGTATAAGTACACCAGAAGTATCTGTATCATGTAGCTTGGTCCGATTTGAATGGCGGGCTTTGCGTGGCGGTGAGTAGCAGGCAAGGCGCTGAACAGACAGGAGAAGGGGACAGCGAGGGTGCCTCTACAGATAAAGCATATTTTCTGTCACCGATAATGTGATGGGGACCTGGAGTACAAAAAGCAAAGTCGGCTGTGGCCGGAGACAAGCTGTCGAGCCATCCAGTGGTCTGTCTATAGGGAGTAAGCCGCTGAATGCCTCTCCAAACATGGTGTGAGAGGAATCAAAAAGTATGAGATCTATCGTAAGAGAATACATGGACAGCGAATAAGATGATCATCGCATACAGAGCCAGACAGCATCCAGCGAAGAGAGGCAGCTGCTCAATGTAAGCTGCAGCCCCACAGCCATAGGGATCTGGGATCATGGAAAAGGAATTCAAAGCCAATGCAGCTTAGAACTCATGTAAAAATAGTATATAAATTGTACAGTGGCTCAGAACGGAAGGAAGTCTACCCCAGGGTTACCAGCGCATACACTGCGCTGATCCGCACCAGCGGTCGGTCAGGGCTGACCCAGCTTGGCCATGCGCTTTCTCTGGGCAGAGAAGCTCCTTGTTGTACGTTCTGCGTGATGGCGGTTTTGGATTTTTTCAGTCTTATTCTGTCAACTGGGCAGAGACACGACGAGGATTTTAGCGACTATTCCAGTGTCGTCGAGTCTGCACGCGCCGCCCTCCTGCTGTGTTGGTGAGCGGCTGCAGTGCCCAGAGCCTCAGACCACTGAAAGAGCGGACCTCCAACTACTCTGACCTTCGTTTCTTCAAATTAAATCGGATAAAGTGTTCCTTGACCGACTTGTGGGACAGACACCAGTGCCTGATCCGCACGTCTTAAGCCGTTACCCAAGGCCTAGCCATCGCGGAGCTTCTTTCTCTGCCTTCTGCAGTTGTCAACCCCTTGAACTATCGTAAATTGTGTCTACACATCAGGTATGGCATGCTGCCAAGCCTGAACGGCTCCCCTTACTAATAGAATTTTGGTGTTACAGCCTGCTGCCGCGCTTGCAGGGGCTTGAAGGTCCAGTGCCCCCCTCCGGATCGCATCAGTCGCACCTTTGCCTTCCAGTGGCATCTTCATCTCTTCTGTCTCTCTGTCCCTTCTAGCTCTTTCCAAGATTTCGGGGAGCGTCGGGCCTGCGCCATCCTTGGCTCTCTGTCATCGGCTGAGAAGGCGCGTGGGCGCTGGTGTCGGTAGTCTGCATCTTGCGTGCTGACTTCGGTCGGGTCTTTCAGATCCTCTTGTCCGGTTGCTGCCTTACTAGGGGATGAAGCACAGATAAATTTGTCAGTCTACGTCCATTTATTGTGACGCTATCAGCCCTTCAGAACTTGCCGTGCAATCGACAGGTTGACCCCTTAAAAGGCACAGTTCAAAATGACTCTTCCTTCTAAGGGTACGCCCTCCAGTGCAGATAAACCTTCTGGAGATGCAATTTTTTCACCAGAAGGGAACGCGGGAAGCATGGTGGAGGCTACGGGGGTGGCCTTGTTAGAGGCATCCCTCTCTCCCCAGAGCCTTGGCGAAGTCTCGTTCTCAGTGATGAGCCCGGGCCCTCATCCCTCTGATTCTTCCCCTTCGGCAGGACCTCATTTTCTGGACGGCTTTCAGACGTTCGATGAGCCCCTCGACGTTGAAGGCTTCAGCTGTTACACTTTCCTTGGTCGCATGGGGGTCCTAGGGCCCGTCAGTGAGGAGTCAGAAACCCTCATTCTTGAGGGGGCCTCTCGCATCCTCAAGGCATATCGAAGGGAGCTCATAGGGATGACAGCTCACAAGAGACTTAGGCCGTGTGCCAGGAGCAGCAGAGGGGCCCCAGCGGGTTTTACAGGGCCCCCGCTTGGGCAGCACAAGTGGTCTGGGACCTCCCTATCATCCTGCGTTGACTCCACTTATCACCTGCAGCTGCCGCCTCCGCTTCTCACCTATCCATCAGATGCAGACGCTGCTGGTTCCACTGCCCCCATTCCTGAAGAGGCTACTGAGTGTGCCACATGGGGCCCGGGGGAGCCGGAGCTCCTGCGTCCCCCATTGTTACGTCCTGTGGGACTCTCTGGAGCTGAAATGGTGGCAGAGGCTCATGTTGCCTTTTGTTTCAGTCGTCTGGTGGTCTCCTCTGTGGCTAGCTGCTCGCAAGGGGGGGGAGGGCCCACCAGTTTCTTGCCCTTGTCTGGCAGTCTGATGTACGGCAGTTCTCGTCCCGGGGAAAGCCGGGAGACCGATGGGAGCTCTAGGGCCCCCTCGTGCGTGAGACTGGCAGGCTTAAGCGAGAGCGAGGCTTTGGTGCCTCTGCTTGAATCCAACTTGGATGGTCAGGCCTCTTTTTGGGGTCGCACTTTTTCCCAGTGGTCAAATGAATTCGGAGGGGAGGACAGCCGCGAGATGTTCACTTCGCAGCAGCCCCAGAGCAATGCGCCTCCCCCCCTTGTCCCCTCCTCAGAAGAAAGTCTCCTTGGCCTTCAACCGTTTTCGGAGGCCTCTAATTTTCAGCAGCTGGTGCGGCTCTTTGGGCGGAGAGAGAGACAGTTGCGCAGCTTGATACAGGCCAGGGACCCCTCCTCCCGCGAGGGGCGGGACTGTGAAAGCCTCAGTACAGAGGGCCTCCTCCACAGCCAACAAACTGCCCGGCAAACAGCACCGTCAGATGCAACTACTACCGTTCCAGCAGCAGGAGTCTCAAGCAGCGACCCCGTTGTAGCGTCTCTTGAGTGGCTGTCTCCCCAGCCTTTGGAGTTGCCACGACACGGTAGGGAGGCAGCAGCGGCTTCAGCAGCAGGGGCCGCTGAAGCCGCTGCTGCCTCCCATAACGCAGGCCGCTCGCCTGAGGCTCCAACTGCAGGATCTGAGGCAACTCCTGAAGGAGCCTATGGGGTCGCCTCCCCCCCCCCATCGCTAGAGGACGTGCTTACTGGGTCTCTAAGTAAGGCAGGCTTCCGGATGCAGTCTGCTGCCCTCCCTAGAGCTCTCCAGCCCTTGAGACTCCGCCTGTGTGCCTTTCTCGCTACTGCAGCGGCGTTGGATTCGCGGATATCTGAAGAGGGGGAAGAAAGCGCCAAGGCAGCTGCCGATTCTTCGGGCACCCTCGTGGCGGAAGATGTACGGCCTGCTGAGCCATCGTTTGGTGCCCTTTGGGGGGAGGTAGTAGTACCTGCCAAAGAGGGCAGTACAGAAGAGGCAGACGATCTGGACTTGTGGGAGCAGGATCGTGCGGCCCCCAGTGATGAGGGGTGTCCGAGCTTCTGCGAGCTTCGTAACAGTCTTGATCAGGAAGCAGCGGCTCCCCAGCTTCTGCGGCTTTTGCAATCTGCTCGTCGGCGGCTTTTAGCTGCGCGACCTGCAGCGTTTGGTGGGAGCACCGGTAGAATTGTCGCGGGGGGCTTCCAGAGAAACTTTGAGGCAGAGGCAGCTGGAAGTTCTTACCACCGAGGAAGCAGTGCGTATGTCGGGATGCGCCGGGTCCTTGTGAGTATTTTGAGGGCTGCGCGAAAGCAGGTGAAGCGGAAAAATGTGCTGGGGCTTCAAGCGAGAGACACACAGAGGTTATTGGCAAAAGGGGAGCAGCAGGCAGAGGAAGCCATGGGGAAGGCTGTGGACTGTCTTCTCCTTCTTGCCTTGCATGGAGGCACTCTGACGTGCCTCTTAGAGTTTTTACATTTGCTGATGGAGACGATTGCAGATCTCCAGCAGCCTCTTCTTGGAATGAGCAGTCCCCACTATCCTCGGCTGCAAGCTGAAGCCTTGAGAGGCTGCAGTAGCGGGAGCTCCACGTTGCCGCAGGAGCTGCAGGGGCAGCATTCGGCGGTTAGAAACACCCTCAAGTTCTCGTTTCCTTCTTTGGATGCATTAGAACTCCTGGCGCTGCAGTCGCGTTGTTGCTTTGCTGCGAGTCTGGACAGCCGAAAAACGTTTTCAGTGGGAGGCCGCCAGAGCTTTCGCTCGTCGCGGGAGAGGCCTCACTCAGTCCTCTCCAGCGCTATTGGATCTGCAGGCGCCTCTATAGCGCAGCTGCAAGTAGTTTTGCCGGATGATACAAATTCTTGGTTTTTTCCTGGGGGGGAGGGGACAACGGCCTCGGGCCCTTCTTGGGGGCAGGTGGACAGCGATGGATCTGAGAGCAGCACGTGCCTTTTGTTGGAGTTTCTCTATGGGAATGACCGACTCATTCGGCTCCGAAAAGACGCGAGTAGCAGTCTGGGGGTTGTACCCAAGAGCAGCGCTGATGACGCGGCCGTTCTTTTGTACATTGAGGCATCGGGAACGGCGCTGGCTGTTTGGACACGCGATCCTGGAGAGACTCAGACTCAGTGCAGCTGCCTAGGAGAGAGAGGGCCAGAAGGGGGGGCCCCAAAGGCCTTAGTGGCGCTGTTTGATGTGCGTGGCGAGAGAAATCTCACTTTGGATGTGCTGGTCGATCGAGGGCGTTGGCAGCCGGAGTTGAAAGAAGCGGCGGAAGCCTTAGAGGCCTCAGCAGCGCCGCACCGGACTCACCCGAGCAGAGGCTCCGTCTTAGACAGAGTGATGACACTCGTGCAGCAGCCAAGAGAGGAGCTGGTGATTTTCTTGAATGGCAAGAAGCTCTGTTGCGTGCCTCTTCCTCCCTCGCCGACTGTTGCACCGGTGCTTCAAGGCCGCACGAAGCAACTGCTCCTTAGGGCTCGAGTTGGCGGGGGGGCTATCCTCATTTCCCCGGCCTCGCCGTCGTTCTCCCCCGCCTTTGTGGAAGAGCTGCGAGCACGTGCAGTGCTTTCGCAGCCCCCCCAGGCAAGCCGCCATCACGATAACAACAAAGACAACTATCTGACACCAGACAGCCCGCTGCACGGCGGGTTGGGAGCCATGAGTATTGCGAAGATTTCCTTGGAGCGCCTGCTGCAGCTTTCTTGTGAGGCCCTGCACCGTCTCTGTTTGAGGGGCAGTCAGGAAGCAGGAGCCCTGCACAGCATCACAGGCATTCCTCGAAATCTGCCAAATGATTCCACCGGCCTCGAAGAACCGCTTTCGGGGTCGCATCGGGTTGTTGCCTTGGGAGATATGACGGCAGTAGAGGTAGCGCTCCGCCTGTTGGAGCTGCAGCAGCAATTATGGCAGTCCGGAGAAAGGGGGCAGTATACGAAGAAAAGGCAGCAGCTGTATAGCGAAGGGCCGTCTCACTCGGAGGGCGTGGAAGCCCAACAGCAGCACGTAACAAGTAGCGATGGGCATAAATGCAGACCTGATTCTCCAGTGGATGTGGCTGCCATGGCGTCTCCCACAGCCAGCAGTAGCGGAACCGGTAGCACAGCCCCTACGGATTACCTTTTTGGAGAAATGTTTTGCACTAGTTCGCGCAGCAGTTCGTCCTTCCCCAGTATCAACAGTGTAGGCGGCTTCAAGAGCCCTACCCTTAGCCAGCGGCAGCAGAGTTCTTATCCGCAGTTAGACGGAGGAGCAATGCATGCCGGAAAACAGACACTTTCGCGGCAGTCTGGCCCTCTTGAAGAGCAGACTGCAACTCGCACAGATGGAGGCGCTGCTGTATCCGTTCGCGTGTCACTCCAGCAGTGGGAAGAGCACAGGCAGGAAACTTTGTTAGAGCAGAGGCTCTGGCAGGTTAGGGCTGAATGCATGTTTGGTGTGCTGGGAATTTTGCGTCTGCTGCTAAGCCCACGCCACCCGCTGTCTCAGGGGAGGCCACACCTCCTTGCCCCCCTTGCACCTCGTCTCATGAGCGCACTCCTCTTCTACTTGGGGGCTGCGCCTCCAGCTAGCCGAGTCTGCTGCTGCAGCGCTTGCAAGGGAGTAGTAACACGGGATCCGGAGCTCGTGCAGGTCTTGTTTGACGTACAGGGTGGGGCCTGGCTTTTGCGGAAGGCAACAGTAGCGATCTTCACTTCCGCCACCCCTGGGAAGCTTCGCATCCTCCTGAGCCGCGCGAGGCCTCAGACGCTGCAGCTGCTGCTGTTCGCCTTGAGCAGTCCGAGGCCCTATAAAGAAGGACTGGCCGCTACGCTGCTTCAGGTTTTGGAGAGAAACAGGGCCGGTAGGATTGTTGTTATGCGCCTTCTGCATGAAACTCGCGCTGTTGGATTGCCTCTTGCGCACGAGTCATCTCAGCAGGCAGCAGCCTCGGCGGACGGCAGCAGCCGTGCGATCGAGCTGTTGCCGGGGTGTGAATTTTCGCTTGAAGGCTGCATCGGGGGGGTCGCGGAGAGCACGCAGCCTCACCAGAAGGCCCCTACAGCGGTAGAGAAAGAAGAACGGCGGGAGCTTTCAAAGATGGGAATTTATCCGTGTGGCTTTCGTCCAGTTGGTGCTGCAGGGCACAGCTTTTGTGGAGTGGGGATAAGCGATTCTGTAGGCCTTCTGAGTTGTTCGGGCAGGAGGCGTTTTAGCGCGAAATACCAGCAGCAGCAGCACCCTCATGGCCTAGTGACAGGGGGCTTGTCTACTCTGCGGGATGCGTGCCACCGTCTCTCCTCTTTAGAGGGAAGCGGTTTTTGGCCGTTTCTTACGTGTCTGCTTGAAATGACGGAGTCGCAGCTCAAGGAGGCCCTCGTTGAAGGCAAGGCGAGCAGTCATCCCGCTTGTTCGCAGTCTTGTGATGAGCAGCGAGGCAGCGCGTCTGCCCCGTGTTGCTTGAGCAGTTTGAAGGCGGAAGCCGCAGCAGGGCCTGTTACCTACGGCTCCCACGCCTGCAGAACGTGGGGGCCTTGCAGCAGCAGCAGTGGCTCCTGCGGAGGGGGCTCTCAGCCTCTCCACTGCTCCCCAGGATTCACGCTGAGTGTTTTGTCGAACCCTCGTCTCGTGGGCTTGCCAGTAGGTGCAGCCACGGGCAGCGAGGGATGCGCATGCAGCGAGCTGCACAGGCCAGCATTGTGGGTGCCACTTCAGCACCGACTGCAACAGCTGCACGAGTCGCTGTACCGCGGGGAAGAGTCTTTGTGGGGGAGCGCGGAAGGCGCCTCGGGGGCCCCACGGGGGGGCCCCTGGAGCCGTTTTCCCGGTGTACAGACAGCCTGCTGTGGTGGCAGCGAGCCCGCCGCCCTGGTAGCCGCCCATGTCGCGCGGCACGCAGCTGAAGTCTGGCTATGGCGTTTATTCCGAAAACTTCGCCTTCGTAGACTCCACATTGCAGGGCAACCCACAAGCAGATCGAATCGGGAAGACGTGTCCACCTTTGCAAGAGTTGCAGAAGCGAGCGGTGGGGGCATTGCAGAGCTGGGGATGCCTGCACTCGCCACAGGCACTTCGAGGCCCCCTGCGCTCGGGCACAACAATCTGGCAAGTCCCTCTCAGGGGGGGAGGATTCTCTCCCCTTCTTCTCTGCCACCTGTGCAGCGGCTCGTAGAAGAGCCTCCTGCGCAGCAGCAGCAGCAGCACTTCGCCTTTGGAGATAGTCTTTTAGTGCCGAAAGGGCAGCATTCACCGCAGTCCTCCGCAGCGGTCTGTCTGTACCTGGAGAAACTGTATAAGGCTGTGCTTCGTACGGCGAATAGACTTGTCGACTTCATGCTGAGAAAGGCTGCGTCGGCGGGGCCTTTGGGTATATCAGCATTTGTTTCTGAGTCTGGGGGCAATGTTGCAGGGAGAGAGCATGCACGTACACCTCAGCCTGCTTCGGAAGCACCGGCAGCTGCATCAGGAGCAGACGTCTGTAAGGCGTGCATGCGGCATGGATTACTGATTCTAGGAGGGCCCTTAGGGGCCTTGGGGGGGGGGGGACCCTGTCTGCGTCATGGGTGCACCTTCCTTGGAGGCGGTGTTCTGCCGCTGCTGACCTTTCTTACGCCGCTGTTGCAGCGCCTTTTGACGCTTGGCGGGGAGAAAGAAAGTTTGAAAACGAAGAGCAGCAATAAGACGAGTCGTTCGCGGGCTGTTGCAGGCTCGGTAAACGGGGGGGGGAATGAGGATTGTGTAATAGGCAGCATCATGGGGCTCGTGCTTCGGCTGTGGCCTGATATTTTGCAGCTCGCCTTGCGGAGTTTGCTGCTGCTGCGTCAGCTGAATTCCTGTTTTTCCGAGGACACGACAAGAGGCCGCCTGCACCCCCTCGTGGAGCAGCTCCTTGGCATCTTGGCAACGACATCGAGCATTCTACAATGTGTAGGCAGCTTTTCCCCGCTTCTCTCGAAGCTGCACCTCGAGTGCAGCTCTTACGGATTCCAACTGCAGAGCGAAACGGGGGCATCATCAGCGGCCGAAGCCATAGAGTCTCTTCCCCCTCTGTTGGTAGGAGGAGCACGGTACATATCTGCGCGTGGGGAGGGCCTTTTGGGGGCCCTCGAAGCTGCTCTAAGGACGAGTATCTTGTTGCTGCTGGATTGCTCTCCTCGCACATGTGGCACCGTCAGAATCAACGAAATCCACCTGCCCAGCACCATAGAAGACTTCCTGGCCGCTACGCAGGTGCCTCCTGCAAGGGGTGTCGGGACTTCTGAGACGCGGGTATCTGCAGCAGTGGCTCGCAGGGAGACGTCGGGGGCCCCTTCTTCGCCTCTGCACATCAAAGACACCTCGGCTTCAGCTTCGAATGCAGAGGGAAAGGGTCCTTCCACGTCCTCTGGAGACGGAACGCGTGGGGAAAAGGCTTCCCAGCTCGCAGGAAACGAAGGGCTTCCTACAGATCTTCCAGAGGCTGTTTCGAGTGCCGTTGCGTCAGGTAGCTGCTGCCCCTCTTTGGTGCGACTGCTTAAGGGGGAAGGGGCAGAGGAGGCCTTCGGCAGCCGATTCAGTGCCTTCCATCCGCGGGTTGCAGCCGTTCAGAGGGCCATAGGGGCTGCCGTGCTGCATCTTCTAGGCTATGAGGGGCCCCCACCGGCTGGGGAACGGGTGCGACTGCCCCAGGAGGCCCTCCTACAAGGGGAGTCTGAGGACGCAGAAGCGATGATTAGTTTGGCAGCGTCTCTGGCCAGGAGAGCCGCCATTCAGCTGCTCTCCAGGTGGCAACGTAACTCTGCAGACAAGAGCATGGAGGGAGAAGGGCTCTCTGGGGAGGGCGACAATGCTCTGCCTACTCCTTTGGCATTTTCGGACTCTGATGACTCTTCCAGGGGGTCTCCCCTTAGCGCAGGCAGCGTCAGCAGTCCTCAGAAAGCGCAGCAGCGGCAGCGACGGCAGCAGAGCAGAGCAGAGGAAGCTAGCGGGATTATTTCCCGGTGTCTTTGGCTGTTGGGCTACTGCCCTAGGGGCCTCGCTGGATCGGAAAGTGCGCTGTGTTCTCGGAGATGGAGTCGTCAGCTTGTTGGATCCCACAGGGTAGGCTTTGTACAGCGCGAGGATGTGGTGCTTTGTCGAGCGACTTCATGTCCTGACATGGCCGTTGGTGGGAGCACAGGAAGTCGCCTTCGAACTTGGGGGTACCCACGTCCTCGTGGGGCAGTTTTCGCTTGTCTGAAAAAGAGGGAAGGGAGGGGGAACCCTTTGGACTCTCACACAGAGGCGTCAGGAAGCCCCAGTCTAGCATCCGCTTACTCTGGCGGGGTGGGGGTTGGGCAGAGAGGACGAGGCGCTTCTCGCATTTCCTGCAGTGGCCTCAACGCTGTTCGGAGTGTCGATGTCCTCAAGCGTTTGTTGCGAAGCATCCAACGCAGAAGCCGCCGCAGCGGCTCACAGCCATGGGGTCGAACATCGCGTGTTGCAGCAGCAGCGGCTGCTGCTGCTGCTTCTGCTGCTTCTGCTGCTGCTATCGGCGGCGATCTGCTCGCAGGCATGCGGGGGAAAGGGACGGGGCCCCCAAGGAAGCGCATGAAGGACGGCCTTCCGACGCTGCCCGAGGATGTTATGAACCCTCAACAACGTCAGCGGTGGCCATGGGATGCCTTACAAGAAGTTGTGAATTGTTCGGGGGCTTCTGGAGTGGTGGAGATTCACGGGGGGAGCGTAGCTAATGAAAGCGGCTTGACTGCCTTGATAGACTTTATGCTGAACGGGATGGACACGCAAACAACGCAGCGCGTGCTCCTTGTTGAGCAGCTGTCTTCTGTGATTCGATATGTGGTGCTGCGGAGCATGAAGGCCTTACTAATGGCTGGACTTTGTTGCACGGGGCCTTTGCCCGCGTCATCTCCTTTCGTTGAACCCGAAGCTCCCGGCCGTCAGAAGTCCCATGAAGATCTGAGCTCAGGCGCTGTCACGCAGCGGCTTCTCCCTCAGGAAGATAAACGCTCAGAAGACTGCCCTGCTGAGGGTGCAGGGGACGAAGGGGCCCTCCTCAGCAGTCCTAGACTCCACAGCATCAGGGAAGGCTTTCCGCTTTCCGAGGAAGGGGAAGAAGAACAGCCGCAGCTGCCCGTTGGTAGGTGGTCCGACAAAGCCTTTCCCGCTTTCTTTGCACGAAGAACTGGAGGTTCAGGAGGCTCTACGTGTCTCTCCGCTACAATTGGCCTTTCTGTTCGCCCTCTACCCTTCACAGCCACAGCCCTTCCTGTGCAGAGCATGTCGGGGGGAGGAGGAAGCGGCAGCAGCGGAACGGGGGGAGACGCGCAGGGGAGGGCCTGCGATCGAGACAGCAGCGACGTGAGCTGCAGAGATGTCAGCTGTACTACAGCGAGTTCTGACGGAGGCTGCGCCCTCCTTTACCCTTTGGAAGGGATGCCGCGTCCAGGACTGCGGTGGCCGCTGCTGCTGGACTTGTTGTTGCCGTCCACAGAAAAGAACCCTAGTCTTGGAGCTCTGTCAAGTCGAGACAGCATTTATGGCAGGAAGCCCCTAGATCGCCCTCCTAGCGGCACCGCCAAGCGGTACGCTGGTTGGTTAATTCTTAAAATGCTGCATTCCCTGGGGATCTCCTTGATGGGCAGCTCCTCCGCATCTGCAGCACTGATGGGGGAAAATGGCCTCCTCAACGCCCCTGCAGACGGTTCCTCTGCTGCACCTCACAAAGCCGCCACCTTCTGGCTCTTCCAACCCCTCGCAGATGCCCTGCATGCGTCGCTCAGCGAAATTATCCGGTCAGTTCGCTGGGTAGCCAGCAGAATCCGTGTCTTAAGACCCTGTGTAAATATGCATTGGAAGGCCTTCCTTGCATTGGAAGGCCTTCGTTTCAGACAGCTGGAGGGCTCTTTCGGGGGAGGGGGTTGGCAATATGTCAAATCGCTTTTCTCAGTGTATTCCTGCTGATATTTTTAGTCGCAAACTGTCTTCTAGATGCTGCTCATCTTCCAGCTGCGGTATTGGCAGCAGACGGGTTATGTGTTGAGTGAGGCTTGCATCCTCAGGACTACGTTTGAGTGGCACTTTCAAAGGAATCTTCCAGACATGTCTGCTCTTGCACTGCCTCCTCCGGACCACGGAGCCTTCCAAATGCACCCTGCAGATTGTTGCTGGATGGAAGAAGTCCTGCGCCTTCTAACGCTCCACTTCTGCCTCGGCACGGAGCCTCTAGACAGCAGCGAAGTGGTCGTGCTTTTCTTGCAGCACCTCCTGGCCCTTGCCCATCCAGTGCCTCTGAAAATCCAACTTGGAGAATGCAAAAGCAGGGGACCCTCGGCGGAAGCATTGGCTTGCGGAGAGACAGTAGAGGGCACTTCCTTGTTTCCGGAGTACCCCCACGGGCCTGCTATCGATGGTCTCTCTGCTGATACTGCTCCTGCAGCAGCTTCTCGTCCTCCAGCGAAACATGTTGCAAGCACTTGCTCGCAGGGTGACGGCCAGATGAAGCCCTCCACCCCAGGAGTGCCTGCGTCCATCGACAGAATCTGCCCTAAAAGCTCTTTTCCCAGAGCGCAGTACATTCCCCTTTCTACGGCCATAACTGCAGTGCAAGTCAGGTGTATCGACAACCGGCGGTGGGCTTCAGATGGAGATCTTTTGCAGCGAGGCTTTCAACTGAGAGAAAAAGCGAGCGTTGCAGGATGTACCGTCGTCCTGTATGTACAGCGGCGCCACAGTGCTCTACCGTTCACCCCCCCTATTCAGAGCCTCGGTGAATGTGTAATGGAAGAAACTCCGAGAGATGAAGGGTTTGGTCTGCTCACGGATTCCTTAACCGGAAGCACTGGCCTTCTAACCGTCTCGTGTTTAGGTAGGCAGGCCTCCAGGCACCTTGGACTTCGCGGCGCACTGCGGAGGTGTCCTCCTTGCAAGAGCTTCTTAACAAGAATTATTTTAAAGCGCGAACCTAGTTCCATGCGTTTCACGCATACGGTTCCCCTGTGCTGCCTGCATGCCCTGTATTGCTGGAAGGGCGAGAAGCAGGAGGGGAGGGGGCAGGGAAGGAAGGAAATTGCGGGGGTGCCGTCCCCGCTCATCGTTTTCTGAGTACTTTGTTGTTGTCCTTGCTACACGCTTGTGGTGATCGTTGCGTCTAATGACTCGCGTATCGAAGATGATATTCCTTCTCCTCAACCCCGATATATATATACCTTATTTTTCCTCATGCGTCTTGCTTCTTGTCGCTGTTGTCCTGCTGTCCTCAGGTCCCACGGCCTCAGAGCCTAATGGCGAAGAAGAGGTGATCTCGGATGTTCGTTTGCAGTTGCACGTTCTTGAAGGACTTGAGGGGGCGTCTAGTGAGACAGGAGAGCACCTCCAGCCGAGCTGTGCAGCTTTGGAGAGGCTTGGATTCTCTGTGGAGCAGACGTTCTCTCTTTCTCCCGTCCTTAAGGTGCACCTCTGGACCAGCAAAGGCCTCCTGGTGTATGAGGCTCTCCGCGTTGATGCTGACGGCCTTGACGCGGAAATTGACAGCCGAGCGAAGGGCATGCAAGGATTGGAAAAACCTTGTTGGGGTGCACCTCCGACAGCGAGCAAGTCGGACAAGAGTCTGCCGTCCCCTACCCTAGGAGGCCCCGGACTGATGCGGGGAGGGGGGGAAGACGTATTGCTGTGCTCTCGACAAGGAGACGGCAAGGGGGGGATCGACGGAAAAAAGCAGCTTTCCCGTGTGCGTCCCTACGAAGGGGCTGCTCAACGCCTCCAGCAAAGTGCCTGGAAGGCCTTCCAGGCCGCTCTGTGGTTTATTCTTGTAGCCTCTGAGGATGGAACTCCCAAGCCTTCTCCAGCGCTGTCCTCGATCTCTGAAGTCAAAGGCTCGCCACCTCTCTCTCCTCAGAGCTGCACCTCTCCAGGAGGAGGGGGAGGAGCAAGCCGCGAGACCGCTGGCAGTCGTTCACAGGAGGCCTTGCGAGCGACTAATCAAGAGGCTGTTCGCCGCGATGCCGTCGCTGTCGAGGCCTTGAAGCTGACACTGTGCACAGTCCAGCGCCTTGTGGACTTGCAGGAGCAGACTCTGAAGGTGTTACATCTCAACAACAGTTTGGGGATCCGGGAAGTCCTAACGAAGTATCCGGAACGGCGCTCAAGCAACTCTCCGCAGACGGGTAAGGGCGAAGGAGACCGCTGCTGGGGTGACGATGATGCAAGGAGCGATGGACTTGTATCGAGCCAGGGCCTCAGCCGGAGCAGCAGTATTACGGAGATTGAATCTGCGCTTGTAGAGGAGGAGGATTTGAGCTCGCCAGCGTCTCTGCAGTCCGCCGAGCGAGTGATATTTACAGAGCGGCTAATTTCGAGGGCTCTAACGGCTCTCCTTCGTTGTGTGTGTGCTTCCACGTTTGCCGCGCGTCTCTTATTGAGAACACTTATTGTAGGCTTCAAGAACCTCCCATCGCAGCTCGAGACTACGTTGCGGACTCTCCACGTCAAGGCGGATCTGTATAAGCTGCTGGCGGAATGTGTGCGTCGCATGCCGCAAGACGGAGGCGAGTGGGGGACGTCTCTCGCGTCCCTGTCTCTCTTTGGTCATCATCGAGGCTTGTGGAATTCCCAGGGAAGCCTTGGCAGGGATGCCCCCGAGACTGCTTTCCAGCTGTTTCCTCCGCTCCAGCCGATCACCGTAGGCAGTCTTCTGGATTGTGCGGGGTCGCTCGTGAAGCTGCACGAGGAGCAGCTTGAGTCAAAGACGGCGGAGGCGTTCTGCTCCTCTGACTCCCCATCCCCCAGCCAAGGGCCCCCCGACACTGCCCTCCCCCCTGCATGGCCTTCCGGAATTATCAGCGAAACTTTTGAAGGCGGAGCAACCCGGCACGATGCAGCTTCCCTCTCTACGGAGGGTCCTGACACACTTATCAACGAGGCACTCGAAGAAACTCCTGCCTTGTCTGCACCGACGACGTCATCTCCCTCTCGAGAAGCCCCCGGAAACTCCTCTTACGGCAGTCGATACGACAGCCTGTTTGCGTCTCTCCCGCAGTCGGATATCTTCTTGTGCGCGGAACCCTCCTCAGATTTCCAGGCCGAAGTGCACGGACGCACGTTGCATGTCTTGAGAGCCCGCAACTTGGGGGGTATCTCGCTGTGCAGAGCACCTCTCACTTTTCCTGCTCTGCAAGTGGAGCCTGGCGAAGCAGCTGATGTCTTAGGCTTTAGAGTTTGGTCTGCGGGACGGTTTGGCGTGACTGTGGCTCCAGCGGACTGCGTGTTATCAGCTGCGCAGGAGCTTTTCGACAGGAATGACGTCGTGGGCTTCCGCACGGCAAGCTGCCCCCCCTTCTGGGAAGACGTCTTTGCTACCACCGTCACCTATCAGCCTGGCGATTACCTGAGCGTCAAATTCACGGTAGACGATCAGCCTAATGGACAGCGCTGCCTCCACACGGAGCTACACGTCTCTGGCGAGAGTATCGGCTCCGTCCTGGAAGTCTTTTACGATCAGCTATCTCAGGTGGATCAACCTAGGAGAATGAACCTTGTTTTCGTCTTCCAAGATCCCCTCACCGTTGTTTACGGAGGCCCCGACTTCACCCTGCAATACCGCGATCCCGACTTAGGGAGACTCAGCAGCCGTCCTCAGGGAGCAGCTGGCCAAGAAGGCTCTCCGCTAGGGGGGAGCCTCTCCGCAGCCCAGTACCCCCCTTCCCGACAAATGCTGCGCTGGCAACGCTTGCATCCCCTCTTCTTACAGAGTGTCCAGCTCTATCAGGCGGTGTTGTTGGCACCGGAGGGAGGCCTTCTTGGGGAGAGGCGCAAGGTGCTCGAACAGCTAGCCGGCCAGATGCATGCCGCGTCTAAGGCCTTGGGCTCCGCCTTCGAGACCCTGTGCAGCCGCTACGCAGAGATAGCCTCTCAGCAGGGAGACCCTTCGCAAGGGCTGCTTCTCGAAAACGGGAGCAGCTCGCATGCACTGGCAAGCACGAAACACAGAGGCGAGCGTCGTCACGCCGCCAGTCCAGGAGAGAGGCGTGGGGAGCTCGATGGATGGAAGAAACCCCAAGAAACTGCCGCAGAGGGGAGGCGACAAACGAGCACAGGCTTGAGGCCCTGCAATCTTCGAGGGCAGCAGAGTGCAGTAGCTCTCGAAGAAAGAGAAACCCTGCATGTCTGCAGACGCGGCGTAGCTGCCCTTGCAGTCGTCTGTTGCGATTGCAACGGGAGGGGAGAGCTGCAGCATGTGTTGGCCGTGGCGAATCGTCACAAACCTGCCGGAGGAAGCGACCCCGATGGCATTCACCCCGCAACAACAACGTACGACACCCCCAAGGGAGGCCTCCACCAGGATGGAGGGGGGTGGGAATGCAGCAGCAGCGTGGGCCTTAGTCTGCCATGGCTTGTGGGAACGTCTCCCTTAGAGCTCTCCTCGCTGTCGGGCTTGCGTCAGACGGAGTTTGAGCCTCTCTTAGTGGCGCTTTGCGACTTACTGACTTCGCCAGTTGTCCAAGGCACGCTGCATCAAGTGGCCGTTGTCGGCCACGTGGTGGCTCCTTCAAGAGACTGGGAAACAGTGCAGGCTCTTGCCGTGACGCTTGGTAGCAAAGCCATAGTTGCTTTGTGCATCTTGCTGCGCGTGATGCTCCAGCAATCGCCAGACGGCGATCCCCCGTTGAGCAGTAAGGCTCAGGGGGGGATCGAGCGTGTCTTTGGATTTATGGAGCACTTTTGCTTCCTCACGTCGGGGCTAGAGCCGCATCAGATGCAGCCTTTCGCAGTGGAGGCCTCCTCTGCGCAGAGGGAGGGAGGGGCAGGACTTCAGAAAGGGTTTGAGTCTCCCGCCCCTTGCAGCGAGACACTCCCAGAGTCACAGCAGCAGCAGCCCACAACCGCGCAAGGCGCTCCTACGCAGACATTTTCCACGTCTTTGAGTTCGCGATCTGCAAGTGTGCCCGACTTGCGGTTGGCCATTGCTGCGTACAGCCAGGGATGCGATCGCGGTCCACCTTCCGCGGCCTTCAGCTCCGTAGTCTCTGGTAAAGAAAATGCGGAGGGTCTCCCTCTGCGGGAGGCGGGTGACTCTCCAGGCCACTTCAAGGAGGAGGAAGAAGAAGTGCGCCTGGATAGAGTTGCTCGGCTCTGTGGCTTGCCGGAAAGCGTTCTCGCCACAGAAGGCCTTCATCCTCCTACGGTCACCGGACAAGCTGTGTTAGCAGCGGGAGAGACAGCCAAGGTGTGGAGCTGGATCTTCAATCTGAATAAAGCGTGGCATGCAGCCGTGGAAGAGGCCCTCAGATCTCAAGAAGGCAGCGGAATATGGACGCCGTCGGTTGTTGAACCTAACAGGTCTGCAGAGACGTTTGAAGGGCCTCCTTTAGGACTTCGACGCGTCGAGGAGCTCGTCGGAAGAGGGTGGGACTGCCCGATGGCGTCGCTGCTGTTGCTCAAGCCTAGACAAGAAGGCGGATACATTCATTTTAAGGGCCCTGTTGACATGCGAGTTTTCAACTACGAGGGGGCTTGTTCTCTGTGGTCTAGCCGCATGGTACATCGCTTATTGGAAACGCCTTTGCAGTGGGCTTTGCGCAGAGATGCCCTCCATCTACTCTGCACCATTGCTTCGCTTTGCCCGAACTTTCTTGTCGAACGGCTATACAGGTCAGCCTCGTATGAGGAGTAGCGCTGCTCTCTGTCTGTCTGTCTATCTGTCTGTTTCTCTCTGTCTCTCTCTCTCTGTCTCTCTCTGTCTCTCTCTCTCTGTCTCTCTCTCTCTGTCTCTCTCTCTCTGTCTCTCTCTCTCTGTCTCTCTCTCTGTCTGTCTCTCTCTCTGTCTCTCTCTCTCTTCTTCTCCTTTATCTGTGCTGCCCGATTCTGCGGCTCCTTACAGTGCAGAGCTTTTTCTCCTTTCTCCAACACCCCAGAAGCTCGCTTCGTCCTACGCCTGCCTGACCTCTTGTGGGGTTAGAGCCAGCCGTATACTACATAGACGGCACCTATTCTCTTGCTGCGCTTGAAGAAAACTGATATGTCTTCATGTGGGCTGTGCAGGGGGATCAAGGAGCCCCCTAGGACGCAGGGGCCTCCTGAGGAACGTCAGGCTTCCTCGTGGACAGCAGCGCTCAATGTGATTCGGCTGTTGCGCGTGTGCACCTACTTTATTAGCAGGGAGACGGACGACAGCATTCCAGATTACCAGCAACCTTTCCGCTATTACTTGGACTCCCAGCCTAGTGAGGAGCTGCTGCTGCAGCTGGACAGGTACAGCGCCGTTGCCAGTCCGCTCTTTGGGTGGCAGCGAGTGATATACAGGATCGCTCTGCGAGAGAGCGATCCTGAAATTTTGGAAAGGTTGCACCATCTGCTGCAGACCGAATTGCTGTATCACCTAATAGGCTCAGTAGCACAGGTGGTGAGCAACAGCAGCACCGGCCGCTCGAAGAAGGCCCCCAAATACTGTGCTTTAGCACCGTCAGTTTATGTAGCACATTGGCTAATGGATGCCTTTATCCGGCACCCGCTTTGTCCCGGAAACATTCGTCGAGCCGTTGTAAACCCTGTCAGCTACTCGGCCCTCTTTGCGCTGCTGCTTAATGGCACCAATCTTCCCATGAAGCTTGCCCTTGATGCAGCTAGAATGACGCACTGGATTGCCGCGAGGTTCGTGCCAGAAGCCCCCACCCCCAAGGACTGTGATGCAAGCGCTGCTTCCTCGGATACGTCAGGGAGCTGCCGCATCAATAGGGGCGTTGGGGATGTCAGTCTACGACTTTTCAAGTGCAAAAACGCTGCGCAAATAGGCATTCCCGTTGAGGCCTCGAATTACTGGCGAGACACTCTGAGGGCCTCGGTAGATGGCTTCGCGGTTGCAGGGCCAGGTCGCCAGTTTCTGTCTTTCTTGCAGTATTACTTCGACTGCATTTGTTTCATCAGTGCATCTATGTTCGACAATTTAGAAAAAGCCAACAGCTGGAGGGCCGCCACGCTGGACTGCTTCTGCGCCTCCGACCTTAACAGGATCCATGCGCGATATCGCATTAACTGCAGCCTCCTTGCGCACTATCTGGCGAATGCATGCGTCACAATTCTCAAAGCCGATAAGTGGGGTTCTGTTGGCTGGATGGAGCTCACCAGCATCCCTTTGCTAGCCGACATCGTGGCCTACCTCCTAGCCGCTGAGTCGAGTGCAAAGGCCTCCTGCTTTACAGGCCCTTCCGGCGGCCTCCAGGCAGCGGGGGGCAGCAGCCTTGGTATGTCCTCAAACAGTTCTGATAGATCCTCGCATGATGCGATGACGGAGCTTTTTTCCCATTCCAGCGACGAGGCAAGCAGTGCAGACTCCCGCTTTCAGGTGGCCTCTAGCGAGGGAGGGGAGTCTCTCCGCATGCTTTTCTCTGCCCCTTTCACGAGAGTAGTCCACACAACCCCAGTCGCTGTCTCCTTCGCAGAGCCCCTAAGCTGCACTCGCTCTGTGGGACGTTTAGAGGCGTTCCCAGGGACCACCTTGCAGCTTAGCTTCGATCCTCTTGAGGGGGCCTCCCTCCAAGAGATGCATGCTTCTGAGGCTCAACACGGATCGCCCCTGGAGGACCTAGGAGAGGAGTCGGCCCCCCGTCTGGGGCCTAAGGAGAGGCCTTCATTAAGGAGTGCTCCTAGACTTTTGGTGTCTCTAGATCGCTCCCTCGAGCATTTGGTAGGCGAAAGTTCCATTGCCACGGCGTGCCCCGAGTGGATTCTTAAGGCACCTCTCCACAGTCTCGGGAGTGAGACAGACGGCCTGAAGCTGCATGCGCGGAGGAGAGAGTCGCAGGCTAGCAGTGGGTGGGGGCCCTCCTCTTCTCGGAGCCTCCTGGAGGTGGTAAACCTTCATGCCTCCGCTGGGGAATCGACTTACGCGTGGAGCAGTGTTGCGTTGCAGTGTGGCAGTTCTTCTGCGAGCTGTAGCCTCACCATCTCCCTGCAAGCAGCAGCGTGCGGAGAATGGGGGGGGGGAAAAGTCCCTCCTCGCAGCAGCACCAGCAGCGACAGTTGGGGGCCCGATGTGGGGGCCCCCTTAAGTAGAGTCTTCTTTGGAGCGGTAGACAGCGCCTATGGGAAGCAGCTGCTGGAGGGCACGTGGAATGGAACTGCGCAAGCGACTCTCTTGCAGCTGAGTAGCAAGGAGCTCAGTGCTTCTTTCGATCCGCCGGGGATGCCTAGCCGCCAGTGGGTACCTGCCCATGGCCTCAAGGCTCGAAAATGCGACACGCTTCTGGCAGAGCTGCTGAGCGATACTACATTGGGGGCCTCGGCCACCCTGGGGAGAGCGTCTTATTCGACTACCATGAACACTCCCAGCGAAGGCATAATCAGCAATGCGGGGGGGGTGACCTTCGTGTTGTCTTCTGTTGGGCGGCATTTGTTGTGGTTCGCTGAGGGTCAGTTGGTCGCTTCTCAAATGCTGCCACCGAGCTGCACGGCAGTTATACCCGTGATTGTGATTCGGAGGACTCCTGAGGTTGGCACGTCTTCTCAGGGTGTGTCTGCGTCCTTCTGGAGGGGCCTCGTCTTTACGGCTTCCTTAGGGGGGGGAAGGGGGGGCCCTCCGGGTGCTGGAGGGCCAATAATATCTGTGCCCTCCAACGAAGTGTTCTATTTTCTAGAGCCAGCGCCAGTCGACTTCCCGGCGAGGCTTCTAGGGCCCCTCTCGTGGGCTTCACGCAAGCGCGAGGGCCCTCTCCCCGCCTCTCCCCCAACGGCAGCAGCAGCAGCAGCAGCCGCAGGAGGGGAGAGGGCCCCTCCTCCTGCTGGTGGATCCCCGTCTTTCCGTACGCAGGCTCCCAGAGACAGGCGGGGAGAGGGAGATGATGAACTAGCAGACGCACAGATGATGGCGTTACATCGCTCGTGGCTGGGGCCTAGTTCCTTGTCCTTTACAGCCCCCTCCAACTCTGCCTGCTCCTCAGGGGTCTCTCTGAGTCCCCAGTGGATTGTTCGAGCGCTGTCTCTAAAAATCCGGGGGGGAATCAGCGCGCGCTTGCCTGTAGGGGCCCCAGCTGTGTACTCCTCTGCGGTGTGGAAGTGGGTGAGGCGGCCTGACTCCAGCCGTGTGCCGACAGAGGAGGGCCTGATGGAGTCTCCTTTAGAGGATCTCGAGGCTGCACACACGGCCTCCCGAGCTGTCGCCTCCACAGGGGCATGTACAAATGACTCCTGTGATTTCTCCCTCCTCTCCGCCGACTCGCGGCAGGTTAGCGCGCGTACTGCTTCCAGTGATGCAGCGTGCATGTGCGGAGGTGTTGCGGGAGAGGGGGGAGAGATATCCGCCTTTCAGGCAGCAGGAGGCCCTCTAGGAGGGGGGGGGGGGGGGGCCCTTGCCCTGCAGGTGCAACTCGGGCAGTCCTCTCCCCGACAGGCCTCTTGGGGCCTCGTTCGCATCGCATATCTCCTGCACTTCAGAGCATGCCGCTGCAGCAGTGTGCTGCAGCGGCGTGCTCTGGGTGCCCTCCTGGAGGCTCCTCTGAGAGCAGCCTAGTAGACGTGGGATCGGTGCATCCTGCGCTTCCGTTTCGCGTGCAGTTTAGGGGGGAACCCTGGAGTCAAGGTGAGGGTGGCATTCACGTGGTCGGCATAGTGTGGGGGTTCTGCCGATGGCTGTGGTTTTCTAACGGGCGGCTTTCTGTGCCTTTGGATTTGCCGCTGGCAGAAATGATGCGGCTTCATGCGGAAGCAGCGGGGACAAGCGGCCTCCATAACAACAGGAGCCGTGCTTCTCAGGGCATCCAGGAGGAGAGCTGGAGGGAGACTCAGGTGACGAGGGGAGTGACGGGCTTCACCCCTAGAGACACTGTCGAGATTGAATTCCAGCCTGCTATCCCCGCGCTGCTCTTCAAGAAGAACGACGTTTATCAGTTCGGTTTCAGCTTCGATAGATTCTATCAGTGGACCCCAAGTCGGTCCTCCTCCTCCCGCCACCAGCAACAGCAAAGAACCCTCCAGCAGCAGCAGCAGCAGCAGCATCAGCTGCAGCAGCAGCTCCTTGTAAAGTCCTCTGAAAACAGGGAGCAGCGCGATGCTGGTGCCTTCGCTTCACAGCGTGTGAGAAGCACAGAGCTTGTTTCGACAGGCTCTGGGGGGGCGGTGGGTAGCACGTTCAGGGGCATGCAAGGACCTGCTCCCCTGCCAACCCCGCGGTATGTAGAGACGCATCAGGGGGCTGTGCAAGCTCTCTACCACGCCATAAGAGACAGAAACATGCGTTGGCTCTCCAACTTTTTCTCCTACTATCCCCACTGGCTCGAGGCTCAAGACGCAGCGGCCACCCCTGGGAGCTGCACCTTTGCGTATCTGGAGCATCGCGTGTCTATGTGGTCTACAGGGATCGAAGCCCAGTGGCAGCAGCAGCCGCCGCAGCAGCAGCAGCCGCTAGCTGCGATCTATGGGGAACATGAGAACGATACCCCCCTTAAGCTAGCCATAAAACGTGGCTATGCAGATGTGGCGCAGATGCTGGTAGAGGACGCAGGCTGCAACCCTGACGGTGTAGGTACCGGCAGCGAACGGATAACACCCTTGATGCTGGCAGCTGAATTGGGGCAAGACGCTATCGTGGCAATGTTGGCGGCGAGTTATGGTCTCAATGTAAACCGCAGAGATGCAGATGGAAACAGCGCCTTGCATAGAGTTGCTCTAAGAGCTGCTGGCCACTCATCTGCCGCTGGAGGCCGATTGGGCATATCTCTCCCCTCTCCGAAACAAGGATTCCTCTCCACAGTCAAAATGTTGCTGTCTCTTGGAGCCGATTGCACGATTAGGAACGACGCCGGGCTGACTCCGGTCGACATCATAAGCTCTCTAGGAGACACACCGCAAGACGGAGTTGATGCTGTGGCAAAGTTGCTGCAGTACGCTGCAGTGACAGCTCAAATGCAACCTTGTGGCTGTAGACCACACTCGAAGCCTTCTTCAGCTTCCCACATGGAGGCATGTCGAGGAGGCAAGGGGGGAAGCACGGCGGCGAGTGTTCCTTGGAGGTGGGGTCCTCTCCTCGCGAACTGCACTGTGGTAGTAGGCGGACCAGGGAGCATCGCCTTCAGCCTGCAGAGCCTCTACATTGATGGAGAGCGACGTGATAATCCTTCACTCGAGACAGAAAGGGAAGCTGAAGCCGCTGTTTTTGCGGGTTCTATCGATAGAACGAGTGTGCAGTCGCCTCAGCCCCTGAGTTCCCCAGCGGCATCTCGGGCTTCAGAAACGCTCACAGAGGAATGGCAAGGCCAGATGAAGCTGCAGGATTTGAAGACTGCGTCGCAGTCCTTAAGGGCGAACACAAGAGATGGCGGGGACAAGCGTGCGAGCTCCTCCTCTCGGGTCGGCAGGACTTCTACCAGCCTCGTTGCGAGCAACTGCACGCCAGCAGTCGTTCAGCAGCTGCGATGCGTGAATGCTGCGTCTGGAGGTGCTGCTAATGCCGAAATAACAGAAAGAAGCGACAACACTCCCACCACAGACTCTGCATGCAGGCAGTCTACTGATTCTGCCGCGTGTCAGACACCGCCTTCCCTCCTTCGGCCCGTAGACAAGCGGCTGCCCTTGACAAGCGCAGACGTGCGAACTTTGCTACAGCAGCTGCTGCTATGGGGCCTTGACCTGTTCGAAGCCTCCTCAGCTTCCTCCTCCCGCAGCACTGAGGTGCAACCGCGCATCCTGCGGGCTCCACTCCCAGCTGCGTCTACAGCCCTCCTGTCTAGTATCGCGATGGCTGAAGACTTCGTGTCCCTCCAGCATGCCTTCCTCGCTGTCATCAGGCGGCTGCTCACTCTGGAAGTGCAGCATCAGCACAAGGAAGAGCAGCATTCCAGGCCTCCCATGCACATGCACAACGGGCAGCAAACGACAGCAGCTTCTTCCCAGACCCACCGGCCTAGTGCCGGGGTAGCCAGCCAATCAGACGCCTCCAGAAGCAAGCACAGCTCGAGAGGAGAAGTTCGCTTTTCCTTAGGGCCTCCTCTTCAGGGCATCAGTTTGCAGTATCTCGCTGCACTTGCAGAGAATGCTGAGGATCTCGGAGACCTTGCAAGTCTGCTCTTACCTCTAGACACCCTGGCTGCTCGCATAGAGGGATGCACACAACCGGGTTGGATCGACGGCATGCAACGGCACATGTGGCGGCAGCGTGTTGCGAGGGACCTAGGGATTCAGGTTGCTTTGGGAGGCCCCGGTGGCCTCGTGTGGACTCCCGACATCAATTTGCTGGCTCGCGCTTCCGGCGTTGAGCTGCAGGGGTTCCCCACACCCCGCCTCCTCCTCGGGGAAGAAGCGTCCTCCCCCGAGAAAGGCCTTGGCCTGTTGGTGGTGCGATCTGTGCCCGCGTCTGATGACGTCATCGTACATGAGGTCATGCAGTTGTGGCCCCTGAAGTTCGACGTCTGGCTGCGGCAGCTGCTCGATCTGTTTGAGTCCACGGATGAGAATCGAGGCACATCACCGCAGGCTGAAAAACACCTACGTATTGCTGCCCTGGTGTCGAAGGCTGACGGCAACCGTGACGACCTTCTAGCTTTCTACCGGCGGTATTCCCACCAAATGGCAAAGCGGGACTTCAGTGAAGAACTGGAGCAGGCCGCAGCCCTCAAAGAAGAAGTCCTCGCTCAGGTTCGTCTTGCTTTTCTGTTCTTGACCTTTGGCTCTCCTGCCTTCGGTCTGCTACCTTGTGGCTGTCTGCTTTGTTTTATCCCCTTATATCTATATATGTATACATGTCTGTCTATGTATATGTATGTACATGTACATATGTTTCCAGCCGATTGCGTACTAGAGCCAGCCACTAAACAGGCTCTCTCACACCGCAACAACAAAGATAAGGAGATTTGGTCGTTGTATGTACGGCTAGGGCACGGCTGGTAAGGGAGGAGGGCCAGTTTCAGGAGTCACATGCTCCGATCTTTTCTATGCTGTTTTGTGTGGCTGCTGCAGCTGAGAGAAGTCTCTTCGCGAGTAGCAACAAGCAGTTCGGGCGAAGGGCTTCTGCAACAAGTCATCGGACTGCGTCTGCGGCTGCTCGATCATCTCAATACATGCGCGATGAGAGCTGTGCCCGTGATTGCCCCTATCTTTAACATCCCCAAGTTGCCTCTGGACTGCTACGGCTTGCTGACGGCCCATTTAGGGTCTTGCTTCTTCCAGGGAAATGTTTCGAGCCAATTGGAGGAACCGAAAGTTCTGCGGAAGGAAGCCTGGCGTCGATCTTACGGCAAATGCAAAATGGTGCTCCAAGTCGGCCCTTCAGATCTCCCCATTGAAATGAGTGCTTATCTCTTTGTGCGGCCTTTGCTAACAAATGCAGCAGTTGGCGGTCTTTGGCGTAGTCTTGTTGAGAAGCTTGGCTTTTCCAATCATGATCAGCCTTCTGTGCGCCTTGACCGAGGGCAAGCAGCAACAGCGAAGACGCTGGCACACACCCTCTGGTATCAGGCTACCACGCAGTTACTGTCTTCTGCTGCCAGCCCCTGCAGACTCAGAGGCAGAGTGGGGGACAGGCCTTTTATGGTTGTGTTCCGGGGGGAAGGCGCTACGGACTTCGGAGGCCCCTTTCAGGAGTTCCTGTCTGGTGTGGCCAATGAGGTAATGGGATCTTTGGCAGAGTCATCTGATGAATCTCTCCCCACCTTCCTCGCCTGTCTTCCCTGCCTCAACTCAGCGCATGCAATTGGTCCTCGTCAAGATTCCGTTGTGCTTCGGCCCGACGCGTCGATGTCAGTGCCGGATCCTTTGATATCAGCTCTGGATCTGCTTTCCCAGAATTCTGCGGAAGGGCAGGTGGTCACAGACGGTCCCCCGCAGGTGTCGAGCCATTCCCAGAGTTGCACGGAGCCACAGCATGATGCCTGTTCTGCAGAGGAAATGAATCAGTGGGCTGATATACATATACCGCAAGCCTCAAGGGCACTCTCTGTAGAAGCCATGCATGCCCGGCAAAACAGTACAAATGGAGATTCGCACACCATGTCGCAAAGGCAGCTTAGTCGGCTGTTACGAGTGGACACGTTATGGACGCCTGATTCGATTACCAGTGCCCTCCCATCCCCTGCCGCGCGCATGCGTGCGCGTGTGCTTGCGAGCGAAGCCTCTGCACCATCCAGGCAAGCCCGGCAGGACGAGTCATTGCAGCCACAGTCCCATCACCGGGAAGCGGCGACCCCATTATTGAGCCCGTCCTCTAGTGCTAGCGCCGCGATTGCACCTCCCCAGCCAGAAGACGATCTGCCTAATGAAGAAATGATGTACATTATGATGTACGAGGCCCTTGGCCGGCTCATGGCCATGTGCTTCTGCATCGGAAGTGCGTTCAACGTTACCTTCAATCCGCTTCTGTGGAAAAAACTTGTCGCTGCTCCAATCAGTATTGACGTGAGTCTTTTTTATCATTACTAGTACTCGTTTTCCTCTATTGTTGCAAGCAAACTTTTGATCCTGAAAACATTGAAGAGGCTCACGTGAACTAGCCCCTGGCGTGTCCAATATACTTAAAACAGCAATACACGCGCTACAGCTGAGACGTTATGTGCTCTGAAATAGACTTGGTTTTCGCCCCGCGTCACCTATGCTACCTCGCAGGACGTGCTGGACTCAGACTGCGTGTCAGTTGAGATGATTCGATCTTTGCGGCGGATGGCAGCGGTGCCTCCTCAGTTCTGGGATTCGGCGATGGAGGCATCGTTGTCGGACATGACATTTTGTGCAGAGGATACCTTGGGGCGTTCATTCGAGTTGGTAGAAGGTGGCGCGGACATACCCGTCAACGCACTTAACCTCAACACTTTTATTCGCCTTTCTGAAAAGTTCCGGCTGCTTGAAGGCACTGAAGGAGTTGAAGCTCTTCTCAGAGGCTTTGGTGCTGTACTACCTTTGGGGCGCATTAGACTGCTGTTCGACTGGCGGTGAGTCAAAAGGCAAATTTTTAGCAACCACACAGGCCAGAAACCTTTATTAGAAGTCAGCACAGTATAGTGCTAGAGTATGGGAAATGACTTATGCTATGGTCTATCGTGCGTTCTATGCGTGAACACAGGCGGCTGGAGTATCGTGTTTGCGGCGACCGTGAGGTAGATGTGAGTGTTCTTAAGGAGCACACTGTGTGCTCGTCTGAACGGCTCAAAGGCCAGCTCTTCCAGATTCTGGAATCGTTCAACAATGAGCAGATGCAGCGCTTTCTGAGGTAAATCCACTAGTCGTGCGTAATTCAAGTCAGAGTTGCAAGACTGGCTAGTGTATCTAGGTGTAACTTCCGGCGGTCGTGTTAGGCTCTTATGTGATACTTCGCAGTGTATTGATAGGATAGCAAGATTATTTCATTTATTAGGCCACCTTGTCTTCTAGAGCAAGGATCACTTGGCCAGTTGGCCGGAAATGCCAGCTGTTCGGTGTAAGCGCGTTGCTGTGCTGCATTCGTGTACACCTGTTGCCCTGTGGTCATGCAGATTCGTATGCGGCCGGTCGCGATTACCTGTTGCAAGCAGCGAGTGGCGCATGACGGTCGACTATGAAACACCTGATGTAAGCATTCTGCTGTACCGTAGCCCTCCGTAGACGAGTTCAGTCGCTTCTTTAGTTACTGCGCAGTTGGCACAGTTGCCTCAAGGCTCTTGTTTTGCCAGGTGATAAGTAGACAGCTCCCGCATTTGCATCTATTCTCGTCTCGCAGGTGTGATATTCTTTCTGCTTTCAGCAACGGATTCCCTCGGTTAACGACAATCGGCTGCCCACAGCTGCGACTTGCAGCTTCCGGCTGTTGGTGCCTCGATATTCTTCCGTAGCCATAATGCGCAAGCGGCTACTATACGCCATAAATAACTGCACGGCCATTGACCTCGACGCATTTGTGGTCCATGAACAAATGCAGCTGATGTATGATGACTAAACTGCTCACGATTCAGCCCTCACTTTTGCTGGCAGCCCGTGCAGGAGGTCGAATGGGACGAGCAGGCTCTGATTGACTTGCACGTCTGCAAATCAAGGTGGAAGTTGTTTCCTGTATGACATCTGAACATGCAGCCGCAGTGAATTTTGTCTAGTGTCGGTAGTCACTGCACATCGTGTACACTTACCTAAATGCGATTCATCTAGCGGATGCCGCATCCCCAGTTGGCTCTACAGCAGGAGAGTAGAGGATGCCTGCCACATACTTAGTCATGGCTCATACTTTCACATTACACAAGGCCGAACGGAACCAACCTTCAAGCATCCTGAGCCTCAACCACGGCCAACCAGGTCACTCGTTACAACGAACGATGCATGCAGATGCGAAAAGTGTCTCTCTGTGCACGTGAATACCTCTTATTTTGAAGAACAGCTGCCTGGCCATGTGGCAAGTATCAAGGGAAAATAAGGTCCTCTCTGGTTCAATTAATTATATATATCCAGGGCGACAAGTTCACGCGACTTATCACAAAGGCAGAAGCGTAGCTGAACAGTTGAGCAGATGAAGTAATTTTAACAGTAAATATTGGAATACTGTTGCACAATTTGCGTTGGTGTAGTTATACTACGGCATGCACTTGTCACGCTACTAGTCAGCTGTCGCATTGCTGAGATGAGCGTGGCTTGGTAGATTGAAGAGATTGAAACGCTACCTTCGAAGAGCACTATGCAGCTCTAGAACTTTAGTTTGTGTCTTCAAGCTTATTACTAGTAAGAGAAGAAAGGTTCAGTTGTCTTCATTAATATTCTAAAATTCTCTTGCATTGCATTGATACCGCATGGAGGTCCCCTTTAAACCAAGTATGTATACTCGGAAGCGGTACCTTGAGTGCTCTGTGCAGTTATGCCATGCCATGTGGCATCGAGCATCTAATCGCCGCGCTGCTTTGCCCTCCTCTCCCGTTGCTGCAGACATTCCAGCGCAGGAATACACATATGCGCATTTCTACACTTCCAATACCAATCCGACAACGCAATCACGAGTGCCTAGACTCTATGTATGGTAGGACCAAAAGGGCACGTGTAGGGAAGGGTTCGGTAGAATATGTTACCTTCTTCCGAAGGTTGCAGTACACATTATCGAGTGGCAAATAGAACAGCAGAAAGCCCCCGAGGAACTTGGCGGCACCAATTCCGAAGGATTTGAAATACTGCGGAATAAGAGGCATTATACAGCGCAATCTGCAGACTCGAATATGCCACAACCTGTCTGGGCTTGGCAGGAGACGCTGCTCACTAACCCGCCATCCGATAATCTTTCTTCGACAGACTGATGAGTAAGGGAACGAGCAGTGACTCAACTCCGTTAGTTTAACAATGTCCCGAGGCATTTTTCGGCAAGGGTGTGGAAAGCACACTGCGTACCGTGGGCTTCATTGCAAAATCAGATGTGGTCAGGGTGCGAGCAAAACCCCTGAAGCCTCCAACAGTGGTGTTGGGGAGGTATCCAGGCGGGTAAAAGTATCCATAGCGAGAAAATATCTCGACTTCCCTCCCAGTATAAGGCAGGTGCTGCCCTACATTTATACGCCCCGGATGAACGCTTGCCGCTGCCGTGGGCGCGGTTCCCATAGGCGCTGAGCTGTGAGCCATATCTTTACCACAGAGAAGATCCGGAATTAAATAACACTTGTAGCCCTCTGCTTTTATGTATTATATTGTGCCAAGTGCAGTTGTTCGGGTCGTCATAGTTGTCCTCCGCGCGCGAGCTGCCCTTCGTTTCGTTGCATGCACGACCACCGCCTGCAAGGAAGGCTGTTGCGCTACGAAATGAGCTCATCCACAATATTGTGTTGAGAATCGACCGTTGTACTGCCCGCAATAAATAAAGGGCAACGTTTTCCAACAAGGGGTGTATGCAGCAACGCTGTTGCATTGCAGTCGTGTGATGAGGGGGCCTTTGATAGATTTGTCCCCTCTGTTGACAAGAAAACTCACATATTAAAAATTCCTGTTAACTAGAATCTAATTCCCTGAATTCCAGGCTTACCGTCCATCCCAAGAAGTTCGTTAACGGGAGCTGCGCCTGCAGGAGGCTACTTACTAGTAGTCAAACATAAATTAAATTCCAGCCTACTATTTCTACTAGTTTACCCTTACCCAACAAAGATCGCACAGTCATTAGAGGCGTGATTTGTATGTCCAACTGGTAGTGCGGTGCAGTCAGCCAGCAGAGCAGCAAATCAGGAAATTGTCGATATTTTGTCGTCAGTGTTTTCAACAAGCTGTTCTCGAGGTAAAAAAACTCTTTTATCTTCCCTTCCTCCCACTACAGTTTTTTGTAGCACTATTTGCCACCTCGTGACTTGAGGTCTACACGATTTTTTCTCAGCATTCCCAGGTGCCGAACCTCTTCGTAATCGTCTCTTGCCTCGGCAGATTGTGTGGCGGTGTAGCGGGCTAATACACACTTCGACAATTCATACCACGCTAGCTATAACTGAGTAGAAGCCAGTAATCAATCGGCTAGTTGATTTGTCTTTTCACGTATCGTTTAATTGTAGAGTGTTTTGTCACTGGGCTATAGGACGCCGGTTGCCTGCGTGTGCCCTCAACGGCACGTGCATTTAGCATTAAATGATCGGAGTGCCTAGCTCGTATAGCTACGGGCGCCCTAACTGACCCTCCTTATGTCGAAACTCGGAGGCTAGCGGGCAAGCGAATGAGGGCCCTCTTCTTGACAGCACTTGGTGCATCGCTCCATCTGAGGTCGTTGTAGGAAGACACCTCACGCCACATTCAACAATCCTAATGTTCACACAAATATGATGCATGAGTATACAAACCAATCAATCAATTCTTTACTGATTCTTAGATAGATATGAAGGGTACTAGGCATTTGGGTTTAAGCTGTTAAACTCAATAACTTTCTAAAAGTTTGTATTGATTGCCTAATTAGACGTCCGCCTAGACGCAATCGATATGTGAGGTACTAGTCTGTAGCATCGCATGATTCGATGCAGTCCCCTGGCCATTCACTTGCTGGGGATGAAATGGACTGACAAGATTCCCTGCAACAGTAGTCTAATTATTATCAATTTATGTGGTGAGGCAATAATCAATTTTCCTTATGCAACACTATGGGAATAAGCGATTTCTTTGGCAATGGAAGCTGGCGGTGGCGTAACGTCCATTGGGGCGGAAAAGGCCTGTCTGCAATCTGATCCAAACGCAGCCCATCCCCACCTGGTAGTCAGCCATGACTTACCAGCAGATCAAATGTATGTGGATGCATTGATAAGATTTCGACGGCCAGAAAGGTACTGTAGCCGTAAATGGCCTCGTAGTCGAAAGCTTCATCAGGCAGATGGAGGTTCCTCTCTCGGAACTTCACAGATCAAGGGAAATAATTGATTGTTATATCGTGTCCATTGAAAGGAGGAGCCATTTGATGGCAGGCTTACTTGTTTAGCGAAATCCGCCTAGCCATAGGGATTACTACAATTTTCGCCTTTCATACAGGCCCTGACTACCCGATCTATGCCAAGGTCAACTCAGTAACAAGCAATGAGGTAATTCGGAAAGTTGAAACCAGAGGATCTATCGATTGATCGTTATGGCTTGGCTTGCAAAAGCCACAGCGTAGAGAAGCAGTTGCTTTCTCCGTGATTCGCAGCAGATCTACCAGAAGTGTCACGCCAGGTGGTGTCAGGATGGGCAGCCAGTCAGGGAACAGAAAGCCGCCCGGTGGGGATTTAACACATGAGGGACTCCCTGAGGTTTCAAAAGCATATGAGCGCGGCTATTGCGCTGTTGGCTGGAAAGAAAGAGCCAGGTTGGGATTTCATACCTAGATATGTCGGAACTCTGTCCATCGGCCCTAGCCTACGGTGTAACGTGGCCGACAAAAGAAAGCGTTAGGTCCTAGGCAGCCCCCGCACAGCTCCCCAACAACGCATCCGCTTTGATTGTGGAAATTCGGATCAGGTGTTCCGAAAGAGCAAGCGCATGTTGAAGGCCGAAGAACTAAAACGGGAACTGTGCCTCTGGAAACAGGCTGCTTGGCAAGAAAAGTAGGCGAATCAGGGAAACCGAAAGGCCCCCGCGGGGGGTGCGACGCAACGAAAAAATCCGCGGTGGATAGGGCTGCAACTGAGAACCTACTAGTGGTCAATTCTGTACTAATGCAAGCTCACCCTTATGGTCAAGGATTTCGGGCGTGACTTGGCACCAAATAAAAGGTGGGACTTTTCCCCAACGGGACGGCGCAAAAGTGCAATTTGCCTGTTCACTCGTTAGCGCATTCCCCACGACTCAGATTTACTTACTAGAAGCAGAATTCAGCCAGTGGCAAAGCGACTGTGTGTGAATGTAACTTCGAATC